AGACTGTATGTGAAGTTACCTAGGTGGGAGACTGTAGGTGAAGTTACCTAGGTGGGAGACTGTAGGTGAAGTTACCTAGGTGGGAGACTGTAGGTGAAGTTACCTAGGTGGGAGACTGTAGGTGAAGTTACCTAGGTGGGAGACTGTAGGTGAAGTTATCTAGGTGGGAGACTGTAGGTGAAGTTATCTAGGTGGGAGACTGTAGGTGAAGTTACCTAGGTGGGAGACTGTAGGTGAAGTTACCTAGGTGGGAGACTGTAGGTGAAGTTACTAGGTGGGAGACTGTAGGTGAAGTAACCTGGGTGGGAGACTGTAGGTGAAGGTTACCTAGGTGGGAGACTGTAGGTGAAGTTATCTAGGTGGGAGACTGTAGGTGAAGTTATCTAGGTGGAGACTGTAGGTGAAGTTACCTAGGTGGGAGACTGTAGGTGAAGTTACCAGTGGGAGACTGTAGGTGAAGTTACCTAAGTGGGAGACTGTAGGTGAAGTTATCTAAGTGGGAGACTGTAGGTGAAGTTACCTAGGTGGGAGACTGTAGGTGAACTTATCTAGGTGGGAGACTGTAGGTGAAGTTACCTAGGTGGGAGACTGTAGGTGAAGTTACCTAGGTGGGAGACTGTAGGTGAAGTTATCTAGGTGGGAGACTGTAGGTGAAGTTATCTAGGTGGGAGACTGTAGGTGAAGTTACCTAGGTGGGAGACTGTAGGCGAAGTTACCTAGGAGGGAGACTGTAGGCGAAGTTACCTAGGTGGGAGACTGTAGGCGAAGTTATCTAGGTGGGAGACTGTAGATGAAGTTACCTAGGTGGGAGACTGTAGGTGAAGTTACCTAGGTGGGAGACTGTAGGTGAAGTTACCTAGGTGGGAGACTGTAGGTGAATGTTTATAGGTGGGAAACTGTAGGTGAAGTTACTCTAGGTGGGAGACTGTAGGTGAAGTTACCTAGGTGGGAGACTGTAGGTGAAGTTACTAGGTGGGAGACTGTAGGTGAAGTTACCAGGTGGGAGACTGTAGGTGAAGTTACCTAGGTGGGAGAATGTAGGTGAAGTTACGAGTGTGGGAGACTGTAGGTGAAGTTACCTAGGTGGGAGATGTAGGTGAAGTTATCTAGGTGGGAGACTGTAGGTGAAGTTACTAGGTGGGAGACTGTAGGTGAAGTTATCTAGGTGGGAGACTGTAGGTGAAGTTACCTAGGTGGGAGACTGTAGGTGAAGTTACCTAGGTGGGAGACTGTAGGTGAAGTTATCTAGGTGGGAGACTGTAGGTGAAGTTACCTAGGTGGGAGACTGTAGGTGAAGTTACCTAGGTGGGAGACTGTAGGTGAAGTTATCTAGGTGGGAGACTGTAGGTGAAGTTACCGGGTGGGAGACTGTAGGTGAAGTTACCTAGGTGGGAGACTGTAGGTGAAGTTACCTAGGTGGGAGACTGTAGGTGAAGTTATCTAGGTGGGAGACTGTAGGTGAAGTTACCTAGGTGGGAGACTGTAGGTGAAGTTACCTAGGTGGGAGAATGTAGGTGAAGTTACCTAGGTGGGAGACTGTAGGTGAAGTTACCGAGGTGGGAGACTGTAGGTGAAGTTACCTAGGTGGGAGACTGTAGGTGAAGTTACCTAGGTGGGAGACTGTAGGTGAAGTTACTAGGTGGGAGACTGTAGGTGAAGTTACCTAGGTGGGAGACTGTAGGTGAAGTTACTAGGTGGGAGACTGTAGGTGAAGTTACCTAGGTGGGAGACTGTAGGTGAAGTTACCGAGGTTGGAGACTGAAGGTGAAGTTACCGAGGTGGGAGACTGCAGGTGAAGTTACCAGGTGGGAGGGTTCTGGTAGGTGAAGGTTACCGAGGTAATTTAAGACTCTGGGTGAATTACCAGGTGAGACAAATAGATGAATCTCAGCCCTAGGTGGGAGACTGTACTGAATTACCAGGTGGAGACTTACGCTGAAAGTTACCGAGGTAGGCAGACCGAAGTGTGAAGTTACCGATGTGGGGACTGTGGGGATTGTTCCAGTGGAGATATTCGGTTTTAATTACGAGGAGATGTGGTGAAGTTTCTAGGGCGTGACTTAAAGTTCCTATCATCAGACTAATATAAAGTGAATAACTTTTTGGAACCTGTTAGTCTAGGGATGTACAGGGGAGACAACTGTAGCGGTTGTTCGGTTTCAGGAGAGAGAGGTGGAAGTTACCTGGTGAACCACTTTTATTAGAAGTTAACTAGGTGGAAAACCCCGTGGTGCAGATTTTGGTGTGGGCACATGTTGAAGTTACCTGGTCGGAAGACTCTGGTAAGTTTCCCAAATACTGAATGTACACTGAGAGTATCCATGGTTGGGAGACTGTAGGTTGGGAAATTAAACTTAATGGTGAGAGAGACTGCAAAAAAGGGGAAGTTATCCAGGATAGGTTTTCTTCGTGTCGGTTGTAAGGAGGCTTCACCACCAGGTAATTACCTCAAGGACTGCATGCTTGGGGTGGACCACACCCATCCCACCTGAGCACAAATAAAGAAATAACACTCTCAGGCTCCTAGGTGGCGCTGACATGTACTCACCCCCGGGAATACTCTGAAATTGTTACCAGTTCATGGTCCAAGCCAGACCGAAACGTCGTCGTAAGTTTCAGCCTCCTATGTGCGGGTTATCTGTGTATTGTTCCAGTCATGATATTGCGCCTTTTTTAATAATATAAGAGAGCAAGTGTTGCCAGGTCTTGCTGTCGTGACTTCCCAACATTCGCTCATCATCAGCACATAATCAAATAAAAGTGAATAACTTTTTAAACTGGAAACACTGTATATTTTCCTAGGCATGTAGGTGAGCACAAACAGATAGCGCGTTTGTCTCGCGTTCAGCAGACGGAGGGTCGAGCCCCCACCACGACTTGCGCTGGATAACCCCACATTGATTTAGAGTTCAACATATTGGAACAAAATTCCTTCTTGGTGGGCCAGATATGGCCCGTGGGCCACATTTTGACCCACTCCCTGGTCGAGAAAATACATCTGATCAGTACAAAATACTGAATGACACTGAGAGTATCCCACTGGTTGGCTGAAAGATGCTTAAATAAGTGCAAATGTTACGAGAAAATACAATAAAAATTAATTGGAAGAAGATGCCACAACTGTAAACTCAAAAAAAGGTGCTAAGAATACTATAAGACCAGAGATAAGATAAGATAAGATAAGATTTCGTTCGGATTTTTAACCCCGGAGGGATAGCCACCCAGGATAACCCAAGAAAGTCAGTGCGTCATCGAGGACTGTCTAACTTATTTCCATTGGGGTCCTTAATCTTGTCCCCCAGGATGCGACCCACACCAGTCGACTAACACCCAGGTACCTATTTGTTGCTAGGTGAACAGGACAACAGGTGTAAGGAAACGTGTCGAAATGTTTTCACCCGCCGGGAATCGAACCCGGGCCCTCCGTGTGTGAAGCGGGAGCTTTAGCCACCAGGCCACCGGGCCACGAATAGGAAACAAGAAGAGATGGAAGAGGCAATAATAATTACCACCATTGGGAAAATGTAAATATTTGTAAGAGAAAATAAATAGGTTGAAGCACACACACACACACACACACACACACGCACACACACGCGCACACACATACACACACACACACGCACACACACACACATACACACTTCATCATTATGGTTCTGATCTTCAGTAATCCCGTGATGCAGGGAGTGCCAGAGAGCAACTGGCACTCTCCTGGGGAGAGTATAGAGGGCCGGGGTAAGATTAAGATGTGCCAACCTGAGACATGAGGATCTGGGGCTATAGACTGGTAATAAGAAAATAGTGCCATTGAAAAACGTGTGGTTCATCACAACGGATTGAGAGAGAGAGAGAGAGAGTGAGAGAGAGAGAGAGAGAGAGAGAGAGAGAGAGAGATTCCTCACATGTGGCTTTTGGAGTAATGCAAGAATTTATTTGGTACAAAGACATTCATCATATCACGGCTACCAACATGTCTTGCGCACACGTCCCATGTCCTGCTCACACGTCCCATGTCCTGCTCGCACGTCCCATGTCCTGCCCACACGTCCCATGTCCTGCTCACACGTCCCATGTCCTCACACGTTCCATATCCTGCTGACACCCCCATGCCCTGCGCACACTTCCATGTCGTGCACACGCAGTCCCATGTCCCAGGCACACACCTAGGACATGGGAGTGGGCATGGTGGCAACACTGCACCACTGGTCAACACAACTGGTCACTCTTCTTGCGTGTCCCACATGACTTAGATTTCTCAAAATATTTCACCTGCATAAATGCAGAATTTCGGTTCCATATCAGTGAAAAATATCACCAGTGAACCATGAGAGCAGTGAATGCAGTGCCTGAGGGGAGAAGAGGGAGGGAGATTTCCAGTTCCTTGGATCAAGAGATCTTCTCCATCATTAAGGTGGGAAATAGAGGGAAAACTAAGGTAAAGATTATACTGAACCAGATTTTTTTTTTTGAGTCAGCTTTATTGCCCTCGATTTTATTTTATGTAAATTTTATTTTTTTGGTATGTTTGAAATTAAAAATTTATTCCAAAATGACTAGTTTGCAGTATTTTCTTATATATTTTTTTCTAGTTTTTTTTATTTATTATGTAAATGTTTAATGTTTGTTGTGTTATTATTATTAATTATGATTATTAATTATATTATTATTGTTATTATTATATTCGAAGACAAACGCCAAACCCACAAGGGTGACACAGTGTTGTGTTAACTAACTCTAATAACAGCTTTTTTCGTACCTCTTTTGTTTTTTGTTTATATAATTTTGCCACTTTAGAATTAAACAACAGACGCAGTTACATATTATTTTGCCTGTACGACCAAAACCTTAAAATAATCGTTTTGTTTACAAAAACTCGTATGCACTTAAAAATTTCGTTTTCTTAATATATTCCATGAATTATTCTCTTCTACCTCTGAATATTCTCCTTTAACAACTCATCAAGAAGCAGCAATAAGGAATAAATAAAAGCTTTGATATATTATTCAAGAATAGATCTATTCTTGTCTAATAATAAAAACATAATCGGACACTTCCAACATTTAGTTAAGACTTTATACAAATTGTAAAAAATACTGTCCTTAATGTATAAACAATATCTTGAGTCGCCCCTATAGAAAAGAAAGTAGAACAGCGGGTGAAAGTGTAGACAAGAGATACTGGCAGTGACTGGTACAATACCGTGGCTTATATTAATTAAGCACAAAAACCCCAACTGTATACACTTTGTACAAAAATTAGATACACCATCTTTGTTTCTCCATGTCCTTGCACAGCCTCTCGGGTTGCGCTTGTAGGTCCATTGGATCCCCATAACACGCGCGTCGGGATAAGTTTTTTCACAGATGCTGCTAGCTACATCAACAATACACGAGAGTTCACTACGGTAGGTCCTTGAGAGGTCGGTCATCAACGCCAAGTCGTCATCAGGTGAGTCCGGAGACTCGGGATCCATAGAGTGGTCAAGCCTCGCTGGGGTCGTCTTACGGTCAGTCCTTCTGGGTCCAAAGCAGGTCCATAGACGTTGTTGCCGGGGTGTAGGGCATCCTGCACCAGCAGTATTTGTATCTCCTACACGTACCTCCAGCTTCCGCGATGTACCTTCTCCATTGTTCGGGTCGCTCCACATCCAGGACTTCCAGAAGAGGCCTTGGCTGAGAAGCCATAATAAGAACGCTGGTACAGTCCACCTTGGTGACTTGGATGAACGTGAAAAAGACATTATTGCTGCCGGGTGCGAGAATCGGGGTTCGGTCTCACTACTTGAAGCAAACGGGGCCCGCCTCGAAGCCGAATGCTTGATTTGGAAGCCCGTAGTCCGTGGGCTGGAAGTCGACGAGGGGAAGATGGGACAAGTCCTTCGATCGAACTTCAAATACTGTCCGCGTTTTTCCTGGTACGCCACTTTTCGTCTGCGGAAGAGGATTTTATATAAAAGAATGCTGCTTGTTAGAACATAAACTCTAAATTTTGTTTTCAATACACACACACACACACACACACACACACACACACACACACACAACACACACACACACACATATATATATATATATATATATATATATATATATATATATATATATATATATATATATAGATAGATAGATAGTATAGATAGATAGATCACGGCTGCCAACATGTCTTGCGCACACGTCCCATGTCCTACAGTTTAAAAACTGTAGTGTAAAGCACCCTTCTGGCAAGACAGTGATGGAGTGAATGATGGTGAAAGTTTTTCTTTTTCGAGCCACCCTGCCTTGGTGGGAACCGGACAGTGTGTTAATAAAAAAAAGATAGATAGATAGATAGATAGGTAGATAGATATATACTCAATAATAACCCACATGGAGACAGAAACTCAGAAAATTAATTGGTCTGTATATTTCGATTCCCTTCTGGGATCCTCTTCACCAGGTGACCCAAAGAAGAAAACACATTCACCATTATGCATTCAACCGCCGTCTTTCCAGAAGTGTGCCGACGTCACATTCAGATTACCCTCCGACTGAAACCTCCCTACCCCTCCTTCAGAGTACACCGCCCTTCCCATGTCCGGTTAATCGGGTACTTTGAATCCCTTCAAAAGGTTAACTTCTTCACGTTTCAATAACACGCCCATTAAAAACCACCCGTCTCTTTTCACTCTTATCTAACACTTTCACACAAATCTGCGTCAGGCTATAGTCCCTAACACTCATAGCCTCTATTGCTATCTCCAACCTCTTCGTCAGTCTATCCATATGCCTCTCTGCCTCTCTCTCCATATATATAACAAGTGTCGGAGGCTCTGTCCTCCGTCAATTAAACTAAACAAAGGAGTTACCCTGAGGGACTCAAAAAGAGAAGAGAGAAATTGCAGAATAAAAGGACCCACTCACAGCACATCCGTCAGTAAGAACGTTGGGTTTGATCGTGTCGATGGAAAATATCTGTTCGTCCTGACCCATGAGCTTGATGGCTTTGTTGTGGTTGAGGTTGTCCTCGTCGAACCAGGCCTTGGATTGAACGCAGGTGTACGTGAAGTTTTGGTAGGCGTTGGAAGACAGCAGTCTCAAGAAGGTCATCTGGACCACCCCAGTGGTCTCGTAAGTGATCTGGGGGATGGAGGTAATATAGTAGTGAAGTATACTGACAGTATGTAAACAAGACACATATAATCTGATACCACGGACGTTGATATAATATTCTCTAATTGTGTCCACGGCCCTCTGCTTTTCACTGGGTTTCTATTACACTTCCCCCCACATCTCTCATTCCAGTGTGTTGTGGCAGTGTGCAGTACTTTCCTCATACAAATATTTCTACAAGCGCATGATACAACTGGTACAGGCGTAGCTGACATGACTGACTTAATATGTACAAAGCTCCTGGTTATGCAGAGCATTTCTGGCAGTTTAAGTTAATCCTGTCCCCCAGGATGCGACCCACAACAGTCGGCAAACACCCAGGTACCTACTTATGATAGGTGAATACGGGCTGTGGATTTTATTGTGAAGAAGTTTCATCCTCCAGGATAAAGTCCCTGGTAGGCGAAACGTCGCCACAATTAAAGGCTAGAACCCGTATTCTGTTTCTTATTTACACACTGTTTATTCGCCTGTTGCTGATTACTTATATCTGGTTACTTGTTTGTACGTGTCTCCATTGAAATATTCCTCTGTACCACCTTAATTAATGCCTTATTACATCACCTGTCTCCTATTAAGTATCCGTATCCTATTAAGTATCCGTATCCGTGAATTCCTTCTTACTCCAAATGTCTCACCTTAATTCTGCCTTTTAATTCCCCGTGCCACCTGCCGCTACCTGCCTCACCTTAAATCCGCCCCTGAGGTCTGAGAACCAAGCGTCCTCCCTGGCCGTCCTCCAAGGGATGTTGATGATTTTGGAGGAGTGGACGTCGGGGAAGACGCACGTTTCCCCAAACACCGTCATGTTGCAGAAGACGTACACAGCGTCGTCTGGCATGCCAAGGTTGGGGTCGATCCAGTACCAGCCGTCTGAGGACGTAGAGACGAGGTAATGATGAAAGAGACAGAAGGAACATGGAAAAAACAACGTAGAGACGAGGCGATGATGCGAGAGACAGAAGGAACGTGGAAAAAAAAAACAACGTAGAGACGAAGAGATGATAGAGACAGAAGGTACACGGGAGCACATGGGAAAAACAGACAGCGGTGGACTAGGAAGTCCCACCCAGGATATCTGCTGAAAAGAATTAAATTAAGGACTATCGAGTATTATCTAGATATGTGAGTCACAGACAGGATAGCAGAAGCCTCTCTCTCCAGCCTCCGGTCACTGCCGGAGAAGAAAAGAGAGCATAGAAAGATGGAAATAAGATGAAATAGACGTTAATAGAAAGGGGCATAGAAAAAGAAGATGATATTTGAAGAATAAGTGAGGAAGGGACATAAAGGAGGGAAGCCTTCTAATTGTAATGATATAAACATTAAGCACCAATGCTTCTTCGTAATAAGAGAATCATAAACGTGATAATATTTAGAGTAAGCGACGCCCGTAGGGGGTAATACAGCGTCCTGAGGAATGGGAAGCAGTCATGGTTAGTCCAAGGAAAGGGAGGACAGGTTCAAATTCCGTGTGAATATGGTTATAGAGGTACAATAGTAGTAGTAGTAGTAGTAGTAGTAGTAGTAATAATAATAATAATAATAATAATAATAATAATAATAAATATTTCACATTTACCTATAATTAAATAGAATGTACTAAATTTATATGCAATTCAACAACAAATGAGGCAAGTTAAGAAACGAGACGTGCACTTTTGAGTAATTATAAGCATTATTATTATTACTATCATTATTAATATTATTATTGTGTATGGGTGTATGTTACTGTGTACTAATTTAGTGACGTTGTTTCGAATGGTCGAGAATAATGGCTCAGTATTCCTAGATATCAGATTTTCTTAATTTTAAACAATCATCTAATGTTTCTCCTTATTCTCATTCTTTTTTTTTCTTCTCATTTTCCTCCTGGTCTTCATTCTCCTTGTCAAGCAATGGCTGCTACAGAATTTCTATATGGGAGGCTCTTAGAACGACGGCTTAGTTGGAAAGAAGGGCTAAGGAGCCTTGTCTTCAAGTTACGTTATCGCTAATGCTTTTATTTAGGGGCCTGAAGGACTCTTCCTTGGCGCCGCCCTTGACGTCAAAGACCTACCTTTGAACTTGGGGTGTCCGTAGTAGAGGTCCTTGCAGGTCCTTGCGGGATTCTCCTTCGTTCCAATGGGTTTCTTCATGCGCTCCAAGTCTTGCCTCATGGTGTAGATGTTAGTGTACATGTCCATCAGCTTCACGTCGAAATCGTCAGGAGCCTCTCCCTTCTGCCGCTTCTTACCGCTGTTGATGATGCCGCCGCCGATGATACCGCCGCTGTCACCGCCGCTGCTGCCGCTGCTGCCGCCGCTGCCGCTGTTAAGGGTGGCATACAAGATATGTTAGCTTTCCTTGATAGTGAGGTGGTAGCACATAGCTTCCATGATTCGTGAAGGTAGGTTAGTATAGTGGCTGTGGTGGTAGCGATAGATGATGTGGTGAGATGGGTTATGTATGAGACAGAGAATATGAGCTGGGATGAGAGGCATAGCGGACAGCATGGGAGCTCATGGAAATGACATATAACTTGTGTGTTATACTCGTAGTTCTGAAGACAGGTGATGAAGAATCGAATTGTCACAATCGTCACTGCAGCTTCAAAAGAGAACATCCAAACATCGCGCAGTTAACGAACCAGTAAATAATACTTGGGTGCACGGACTCCATTGCATGTTATGGATGTAGAGTGTATGATGCTGAGAGCGGTGGAGCAATACAGTCTGAGATGTGGATTTACAGCACAGAGTAACAGACTCACGAGATATATAACAGTTTGGCCTTTTATAGGAGCAGGCATAAGATCCACTGATATGCTGCTGAACCTACATAATCCTTTACTCGGTAGACTGAAAGCTAAAATATGCCGACATTATGGTGGAACCAAGTATTGTAGAACTAGTTATGGTACAACTATAGACGGCCTATATCTGACAATTTCACTTGCAGGTGACCTTCTACAAATCACTTGTCAGCGAATTTAATACAATAAAAACTGGTTCTTTTATGTCTCTTTCTTCAGCCTTTCAACACTCAATTTACAAAACTGTTACTATACTTTCTGCTTCCATAAATGAAGCCTCACCATGTATTTGCTTATGAGGTAATGTGTACATTGATCTAATAATTACAACTTATCTTGCCAGTGAGTTTAGTCTCAGTTACCTACAAACAGGGCGGAAGAAAAGAAAAATAATGAGAGTGGTTATTCTGTCTGGGTTCCTTGCTTACTGAAACTGGATCAAGAAAATGTTAAGGAACACCGAAATAAATGCTGCAAACTGCAACTCTCAGATCTGTACCAAGTTTTCTTGTCTATCCCCACATCATCTTCGTCTCTCATCCCACGCCTTCCTTCTCCTCCCCAACACTTCTCCCTTACCACACCTCCATCACGCCCCCTCCCCCATCCTCCTCTGTCATCTTTCCACGCCTCCCTTTCCTTTCATACACCACCATACCTATCTTACCCTGTCCTTTCATCTTCCTCCTTTACCCTTTCGCTTCCTTTACTCTGCTTAAGGCAACACCAAGTCTATGTCAAGGTTTGTTTATCAAGCTCTTCCTGCAAGGAAACTGTAGCTCGACTTCCCTTCCTATGATTAAACCTTATTTCTCCCCATTCCCAAGGCCTCGTATAGGCCTGAACGGGTATAAAGATTTTAATCCTCGTCCTGGTGAGATATCGAATTTGTCAGGAAAGTCACATGATTTTCATATGATAACCCAGTCAAACGATCTGAGGCAGGAAACGACTTGAAGGGAGAAATTTTGGTGAATCGTTTCCTGTGCGGAACGGACGTTTTCCCGACGCAGAAAGTCGGTTCTACAGGTAAAACGTCTCGATTAGAATCCATCTCTACAAATTAAGTCGATCTTGTCCACTTGTCGACCTTGTGCTAGTCGTCTCCAGGAAGCAACCGTTGGCATACACTGCTAAAGATGTTGGTGTCTACCAGCAAAAACGTAAATGAGGTGCCATTGGTTCTATGGCGGGGTCGAGGCACCGCTCGTTTATCGGTAGGACATGATAGCATGAGTGGTGGAGGTGGAGAGACAACAAGTGCCTCAGCTCACCACATAATAGAAGAAAATACACCACGATTTGCACGTTAACAACGAAGCAAAATGGTAAGTTATCTGATAAGCAAACCACGAACACGCACGTCCAGACTCGCCCACACACACACAGACACACACAGACACACACACCACACACACACACACACACACACACACACACACACACACACACATACACACACATACACACCTAGCCAAGCATGTAAGGAAACTAGAGAAAGTGCAAAGGTTTGTAACAAGGCTAGTCCCGGAGCTAAGGGGTATGTCCTACGAGGAAAGGTTAAGGGAAAAAGACCTGACCACTCGGGAAGACAGGAGAGATATGGGGGGATATGCTAACGACATATAAAATGCTAAGAGAAATCGACAAGGTAGACAGAGACAGGATGTTCCAGAGATGGGAGACAGCAACAAGGGGACACAGTTGGAAATTGAAGACTCAGATGAATCACAGGGATGTTAGGAAGCAATTCTTCAGTCACAAAGTTGTCAGGAAGTGAAATAGTCTGGGAAGTGATGTAGTGGACGCAGGATCCATACATAGCTTTAAGAAGAGGTATGATAAAGCTCATGGAGCAGGAAGAGTGACCTAGTAGCGACCAGTGAAGAGGCGGGGCCAGGAGCTGTGACTCAACCCCTGCAACCACAACTAGGCGAGTACACACACGCAAAACAAGATATCGCAAACCTTAACTAATTATACAATCTTTTTTTTCATTACCAAGATAAGTCCTCAAAATTAATTTGCATACAACCCCTATCAATTATTTTCGTAATAATTAACTTGACAAACAGTAAAAGACTCGTTTCCTGTTATCTTAAACAGACTGGTGATTTTACCTGTTATGTTTAAGACCTATCGACTTAAGGATTTTTAAGGTTATAAAGTAAAGGATTAAAATAGACAGTGTATGTATAATTAAAGACAGCAGAAACGATCCCATGTGGAGATACTAAACGAAAAATATAATCAGTGTACATTTCGGTCTCAGAGAAACCCTCTTCAGCGAACAGATTCTCTGTGAGGCCAAAATATATTTTCCGTCTTCACGTGGGTTCGCCTGTTGACATTTTTCCAATTGTTAATTTCAGTTTTGTATTCATTTTGAGGCTCATAACTAACCTACAAACTGGAGGTGAAACGTTACGGTTCCTTTTGTATTAATTTTCCTTTTGCTAATTACTTGATAATGGTTCAAGACAGACCGAAATGCCGTCTGGTTTCATCCCTAATTTGCGGGTCAGGTATGAATTGTCCAGCCACGATACTGTGACTTGTATTCTTCACACTGAGAGGTATACACCTGTGTGTGTGTGTGTGTGAGAGAGAGAGAGAGAGAGAGAGGAAGTTTGAGGGTAAACTCAATTAATTATACGCCACGAGGCGGAGGCAGCAGTGGGTCTGGTCTCTGTACTAACCTGAGCTTCCTAACACCACCATCAGATTGTCGACCAGTTTTATTCCGATGTCTTCTGCCTCGGAGCTTCTTCCGTCTGCAAGAGTCATGAGTCAGAACACCTCCCGCGACTACCATCAAATACCCTCCATCGAAATTGAATCATTATTTATAAAAGGGGGAAAATAATGAGAGCGTATCGAGCTAATAATGACATATATCTTATAATTTAATTGTTGCAATTAGCAAATATTTTTTTTTGAGCAAAAATTCCTATGAGAAAGCAGTTATTGTTTAAGATATGGGTTAGAACTTCCGCCTAAAGATGTCGCAGTCTTCAGCGTTGTTAGCATCAAGAATAGCTAATCTATATAACTTCTGGAACATTTACAAAAAGAATCTGCAGTGGTTAAGGTTGATATGTTATAGGGCCTGGTCTCAGACCGGGCCTCAGGGGCGTTGACCCCCGAAACCCTCTCCAGGTATACTCCAGGTATATTCCATTACACCACAGCTCGGCCTCTAATATATTTGTTTATTCTCTCTCAGGTACCATTCCTCGTTCAATATTTATTAATCACTGTTGCGACTGCTTGCATCTTCATTAACCTTGCATATCTCCTGGTAATAGGCTTTATATGTGAAATTTATCTTTGCACATATCTGAAGGAAAATGCGGTGCAAACACAGACGCGGGCAGGGTTGAAACTAATGTGAAGGCTAGGTTCCTGGGCTCTGAGTGCTAGCTCTGGTGTACTGGCTGTCTGTGAGTACTGAAATGAATGTTTTAGTGTTCTGTTAGGCATAACTAGGGCTATTTATAAGGTATAGTTTATGGTTGGTTAATTAGGTTTAAAGCCTATCGACTAAATGTCATTATGGCTGCATATATCTAGTTCACCACCAATCAAGAATACGTTAATTACTAAAATAGGGAATTACAGTAAACTCTAAAGTGTTAAAAGAGGGACACGCACCTCTCGGTGTATATATTCTTGTACAATTTAGTTTTCCCTTTCTTGTTACGTACCCAACAAGCAGTGCATTTATGGAGTGACCCTGGCAAAGGTAGATTCATTTAATTATTCGTGGAAATATGCTAAACCCGCGTGGGCAGAGGTAGAGTAGCTCAGAAATGTTTCTCACCCTTAGTCATGTATCATGTATCACTTAGCGCGTTACATACTATACTTCATGCACTTGGCTATCATCAGTCATGTGTCCTTATGCTCATACCGAGTCCGTACTGAGTCGTGTACCTCAATGAACATCATTATTGACGCATGTATATCAAGGTACATCAATGTAAGTCACTGCAGTAATGATCTTCAGTAGATTTAATGTCAGTTGCTTCAGAGTGATTTACTTTTTTGTAAGTTGTTTATATCAGTTGGTGCTGTTTATGGGTGTCAGTGGCTTAGGCAGGTCTGGATATAGAGTGTCAGCTGGCACTGTTGTTTAACACTTTGGCCAGCTGATGAGGAAAGACAGTCAGATGCCACATTCAAGGGTATCAGGGAGGTTTTGGACACCAAGGAGTGAAACGGCACAGGCTGGATCACTAAGGAGGGTACGGAAGCGTTCAACAGCACAGGGATGGTTTGCTCCGGGATACTGAGGTCTAGAACAGCACGAGGGTGGGTTGCCCCAGGAGCACCGAGCCTGGGAAAGAACAAGGGTGGGTTGATCTGGTGCTACGGGGTCCTGGAAGAGTACAAACGTGGGTTGCTTCATTGGTACGGGGGTCTGTAGGAGTACAAGGGTGAGTTGCTCCAGTTTTACGGGACCTGGAAGAGTACAAGGATTGGTTGCCCCGGTGCTATGGGGGCCTAGAATAGTACAAGGATGGGTTGCTCCGGACGTACGAGAGCGCAGAACAGTAGATCACTCAAGGATTATAAAGGCATGGAACAGCAAAAGGATGGGTCACTTAGGGCGTAAGGGGGCGTAGAACTGCACATGCGTGGGTCACTCCACTTGTGCGAAAGTTGGCGTCAGTAACTGGGATTCCCATAGCATTTACTCCACGGGTTGAAGGTGTTTAGGAAAGGGAAAGGAGGAATAAAAGTCACAATACCATGGCTAGAACAATTCACAACAAAACCAAGAGTTGGAAATGAAAACCAGCAGACGTTGTACTCCGTTCTAGACCATAACTATGGATGGTTCGGGTCAGCTTGAAACGACATCCAGTTTGTATTTCCAACGTGTGGTTTTGTTGTGAAGGTTATGATTGTGACAGCAAGGTGATATGTAAGCACAACAATTGCCATAAAGCTTGAGTTAAAGCTATGTTGTTGCTTGACGAGGAGGCGGGAGGGAAGGCTGGCTATCTAGATCAGACTGCTGGTATGGCCATTGATGAAGCGGTTCGTCCCATCCCTGACTACCGGCAACTGTAGCTGTGGTGAGGCCAGTGGTGATGCCAGTGGTAGTGCCAGCGGAAATGCCAGTAGTGGATGTGTGGCACTTTAGGCGAATAACAGGCAATGAAGCGATGCCGGGAAGTTCCTCCACACAAGTAGGGTCTTGGGAGTTGACATGGCTAGCCACACTCACCTCTCCACTTGAGTGGGACTGGGTCTTCGTCGCCTACCCACTCGGCTTCTCCCAAGCCCGGGAGAGAAGGGGTTTTCAGGCTGAGAAGTGGGCTCGCACACCTCGCCTATCCTACAGTCGTCATCAAGCCTGCAAAACCTTCGAGTCAGCAGATACACCAAGCAAATACCTAACTGAAACTTATTAGTGGACGACATTAAATCTGCCACCATCGTTGCTTCTCTTCCCGGCCACTTGACAGCCATCAGGGGATGTGTTGAAGAAATAATTTTTCTCCCTATGTAATGCAAAGCATATTTTTTAACAACATAATGATGAATTTTCATATATATATAATATATATATATATATATATATATATTTTAATATATATATATATTATATATATATATATATATATATAATAATTATACATGCGCTGGATATAATTTTATAAACATTCTTGAAGCTGCAATTGTGACCACCACCTAATTAAAAAACATTTAATTGTCTAAATATAAATATCCCTTCAGGTAATTTAACTGGCCTTTGTCCATCGCCGAAAGTATGAACGAGAAATTTTTCTTCATCTTTCCCACAGAACTCCTGGTTTGTAGTACAGGTTAGCCATCTTGCTAGAGATAGCTTCAGATCCTACGAGCAAAGCACAAGAAACTACATGGTTATCAAGAGGATGTCACCTAATCCTACGACGATGCCACCTTACTTTACGAGGATAGCACATCTGATTCTACGAAGATATCACTAGATCCTACAGAAGAATCATGACCGTTACTTACTTGGCCTCTCTCTTGAAACGTCCGGAGTCTTCAGGATCATACGGAGCATCACGCTGGAAGAGCAGTTCAGGGGGTAGTAGAGGTAGTTCTCCTGGGGGTCCGGGGGGACCTGGGGGACCTGACGGACCAGTCTCTCCCTTCGGTCCTGTGGAACCTGGTACACCCTTTGGCCCATGAGGACCAACCAATCCAGGAAGACCCTGAGGACCATCTGCGCCCTTGTTTCCAACTAGACCGAGGGGGCCCTGTGTTTGTGAGAACAGGATATAGAAGTAAGTTTTCATAAAATTTTTGCCAAACTTCATCACTTATATCTCAAGGTACCTGCTAGATCAGTCATGCCTCGAGTTACCTACTAGATCAATCCTGCTAGGAATATTACCCAATGTTCTTTCTTACATCAGAACATAATTTTTTTTTCAGTTTCGATGAATATAATTTCATTAAATGTAATCAGGTTCAGGTTAAGTCTCTACTTAGTGAAGCAATTTGAGAATTACATTCAGATATGTTATCACATTGCCGAAGAAATCATGAAAGGGTTTTCTCCAGGGAAGCTGGAACGTACCGATTCACCCTTGATTCCAGGAGGACCCTGAGGGCCCTTCATACCAGGTTCTCCCTTCTCGCCCATCTCTCCCTTCGCTCCTGCTATTCCCATTTCTCCTCGGTGGCCTTTTGGTCCTCTTCTTCCTCGTCGTCCCTTTTGGCCCTTTTGTCCAGGGTTTCCAGGGAGGCCGGGTTGGCCGATCTTGCCCTCCTTGCCCGGTACACCAACCTCTCCCTGTAAAACAGAACATGTTACGAATATCTGTATTGCATATGCACCTTGCATATCCAACTTGACTTGTGAAACTGTATGAATCATAGTTCCAGAGTACATACTACTTTCACACTCTCTACAGTAGAGCTTTTGTTTACTTTGGCAGTGAAGCAAAAAGAAATGCTAAAAAATGCAACAAAAATTCTAAAGAAAATTAGCAATGTAGGTAGTACTGTACTCACCAGTGAATAAAAAAATACGTCTTAGTTTATAGATGTGTTCTTATATCAGGGTGATGCAGTGTATATACTTACAGCAGGTCCTGGTGATCCTCGGAGACCAGGTTGACCTTGAGGGCCAGGCAAGCCTTGTGATCCTGTTGGTCCAATTGGTCCAGCTGGGCCAATCAAGCCTCGGTCACCTTTCTCCCCTGGCAAACCTGATGGACCCTGCTGACCCGCTGGACCTTCTGGACCCTGTATGATGCAGATAAAATATCGTCTTTATCAAGGTCTCTTTAATAAAATCACTAGCGAATTTGTTTACAGCACGTGAGAATTTTTTTGAGAACTCCAGGAGATCTAGATACTGCAAATTAACTACTGAATAATGTAAATAATTTTTTTTCGGTAAATTGACAGTGTGACGTGAGGACTTACAGGTTTGCCACTGGCTCCAGGAAGACCCATTTGTCCAGGTGCACCTGTCTCTCCAGGAGGACCTGTCTCTCCTGGCTTTCCGTCGTCTCCGTCCTTTCCTGGAACTCCTTTCGGTCCTTGCTTGCCGGGTTCCCCATGTGGTCCGGGGAAACCAGGTGGTCCAGCATTTCCTTTCGGTCCAGCAGGGCCAATCGGTCCTCGGATCCCTGGTGAGCCTTGTGGTCCGGGCTTTCCTTCTTCTCCCTTGGGTCCAGGGGGACCTATTTTTCCCTACAATAGGAAGACACAGATATGAAAGTAACTTAATCTTATCCTGTTACAGAAATTCAAATATAATAAAAATAAATCAATAAAACTAACTGAAAACTCACCATGTATTTTCTTGGCTACATTATTCATTTAAAGTGAAAAAGAAAACATTTCTTGTAATATTTTCTAACGTTTTTGAAATCTTTAAGAAAATTGGTAACTTTAGTTTGCGAAAACACATATAATACATACAAATCTCAAGAAAAAATAGAGAGTTGCCTACTTGCAGTTTCTGAAGTCGGGTCTCCGTTCATTTTCCTGCCTCTTGACTAGTCATAAATAATCACACGCTACTCGAGGCCTAGTAGGCTCCGTCATTCTTACTCTTAGAACTGTATGTCTGCCATCAACCTCCTTCATACCGTTCGACTTCTAGTCATCCTTAGTGTAATAAACTATAGAGGGATCATAATGTACTCTGTACTCACGTGTTCTCCATGACAATGTTCTCTGTGCTCCCGTGTTCTTCATCACAATGTACTCTATACTCACGTGTTCTCCATCATTGCCGGGTGGACCAGGTACTCCAGGTGGGCCGTTTTCTCCTTTCTCCCCTTGTGGACCGTCTAAACCAGTGGGACCGGGTAAGCCAGTAGCTCCCTTGCTTCCGACTTGTCCAGCTTCACCAGTGGGACCCAGTGATCCAGGGAGCCCTCGCTTGCCTATGTCGCCCTTTTCACCCTTTGGCCCTGATGCTCCGGGCATTCCTTGTACTCCTGCGGGGCCGGCAGGTCCGGGCAGACCCTGGGGTCCATCCTCGCCTTTCCTGCCCGTTCGACCCATTCTTCCTGGTGCTCCACGCTCTCCTGGAGCACCGGGAGCTCCCGGGGCTCCTCGCAGACCCTGAGGCCCTGCAGGACCCGGAGGACCCTAACGAAAAGTAGATTTGTTGTGATTAATTATCAACTCATCACCTCAGCAATGCACAGCTCTTACACTAAGCAACTGAAACGTACACAGTGAGTGATGCTGACTTATAGAGATGAGCTATTTCTAAAATTACCTCAGGCAATAATCTCTCTTCCGTCAATGATCATGAACAATCATTTCAATACAAAAAAGAGAGACATCCGTAAGAGCCTAACAAAATAATTTAGGTCATACATTTCATTAAATTTGAAAAGTAAAAATGCAGACTAATATAATAAGACTCCAGAAGATTCTTAGACAGATGAGGCAAATTAAAATTTGTGATATTATACAAAGTTTAGAATGGGTTAGTCAGGAAATTTAAATCACGCAATACTTTAGCTAACTGTTTCCCCTGTGAGAAAATGGCACCTCTTCAGGTGATTAAAAAATAAAGTAATAATCAGATTATATTAGAGAAATCTACAGCTATTACTCTTGAGAGCCTTTGTTTTCCGTACCTGCAGTCCCTTGCCGCCCTTGAAGCCTTTCTCACCAGGGGGTCCAGCCTCGCCCTTGTCACCGTCCTCACCTGGTTCTCCAACCGGTCCAGGGGCGCCAGGCAGACCTACACACCCACGTGTAAACAGAACTCATTAGCATGCCTCAAGAGGCAAACAGTGCCTGTATGAATAATGCAGGATGCAAACAGCACCTCTATGAATACACAAGAGGCAAACAGTAAAATAAAAGAAGCAAGTCGTACCCATTAGTTCCATACAAGAGGTAAATTGAATACCCCACAAGAGGTAATCAAAAAAGTGTCTATTAGAATAAAACAAGAGCCAAGCAGCATCCATTAGCGAAACACAAGAGGCAAACAGTACCTGGTAATATTACACGAGAAACAAACAGTACCTAGTAGCACCACACAACAGGCAAACAACATCCATTTACAGCACACATGAGACAAACACCAGTCAAACAGAGGAAAAACCATATTTGATTATCATGCAAGAAGAAAAAACTCGCTCTTAAACCAAACGTAAACAGTAAAAAATATATATATACTGCAAACAAGGTACATAGAACTTCTTGAAGCTTTGCAAAAAGTGAAAAATAATTCGATAATGAGAATAAACAAGATATACACAGCATGTATCACAGTGTGTGTCCAGTATCCCCAACCACCAGAAGGTAAACGTGAGTGTACACTATGTATTACATACTATGTATTGCGTAGTATGTATTACATACGAACACTGTCAGTGGAGACTACCAATTGGTAGTATCCACTGACAGTATCAACTGGTAGTTCCCATTGGTAGCACCAACTGGTAGCAACCATTGGTAGTACTAACTGGTACTGTGCAACCATTGGTAGTACTAATTGGTACTAAGTAACCATTGGTAGTATCAACTGGTAGCAACCATTGGTAGTACTAATTGGTACTAAGTAACCATTGACAGCATACCAGAGGCAAACATCCCTCAGTAACAATCGCAGGCAAGCGCTAAGCTCGTATGGGTCCTACGACGACTAGGGTGATGATGGGAGGTAAACAGATTGGATCAAGAGCCCTTAGCCAGCATCAAGGGCTGCACTGCCTCTGTTATTCCCTCTTATGAAAAAAAAATGTATACATCAGCAGTGCGCCGCAACACTAGCTATGTATCCCCTGTGATATTCCATCACTCAGCCAGTGGGGGTGACTTACCTCGTGGGCCTGGGAGTCCATCTCTTCCAGTGGGTCCAGGCGCTCCTTGATCACCCTGTGGGAATATACATTTCCAATGTATATATTGGTATACGAAAGAAGTTAAACTTGTGTGTGTTATTCAGTGCAAAAACTGATGGAAGATCCATCTTTCCTCTACTGCCACTACTACTATTACTACTAATACTACTATTACTATTACTACTATTACTACTACTGCTACTACTACTAATAAAAATAATAATACATTGAAAATAATAAATAAACATTTATAATGTAGGTACAGCAAATATAAGTATGCTAACCCAGTGAATATAAATATTTAAGCCAAACGAAGGTATAATATACAGATGTGGATAGATATGAACTTTTTTTTTGTTATTGTTGATTTAGCAGCATCAAATGAGAATTTAATTGACTGTGATAGCATAGGTAAGTACTCACTCGCTCTCCTTTGGCCCCTGACGAACCGCGAGCACCCGGGGGCCCGTCCTTGCCAGTGGGGCCTTGAGGTCCTGGATTCCCTGCCAGGCCGGTTGCCCCTTTGTCTCCTGGGGCTCCGGCAGGGCCAGGGGGGCCCATCTCGCCCTTGAGACCTGTGGCGCCCTGAAATGTGTAAATCAAGATTAGTTCTCATGTCAGTGAAGGGAGGTGAATTTTGCTAATCTATCAGTGAGCCGAATATTAGTTTACCGGACTGAAATTAGTTAAAATATAAATATATACAAGGATAAATGTTAATCCAATAGGCTTCATGCAGTGGCTGGAGACTAGGAGTTAATCAAGTTTGATCCAAGTAATTAGAGAGTGCCTAAAATTTCTGGCATCAAAAGCTCTTTATCAACATTAAGGAAACGCCCTCATACACCCCATTAAATTTAAAACAATTTAATAGACATCATCTAAGCATTTACACACGAATAGCCTCATGATTTTTTTTTTTTTTTGAGTATCTCTACTTACTGTTGGGATATGTATCCATTACTCTCATGCATTGCTTTATATGTTTTCTCGATGCAAAGAAGAGAGATGGGAAGACGTGGATGATAATGAAAAAAGAAGTGAAGGGATGCTAATACGGGTAAAACAAAACTTTTATTCGACCAGTAACTTTAGTCTACTTACGGGGATGCCAGAGAGACCTCGTTCTCCAGGGAAGCCTGGCAGCCCTGGGGGTCCTACTGGTCCAATCTTGCCTGGAGATCCCATGGGTCCTGGTGGTCCTTCCTTCCCAGCTTCACCTGGTCTGCCTTCCTCGCCGGGGACGCCTGGAGAACCAGGGGGACCTGGTTCTCCTGTAGGACCTGATTCGCCGGAAGGACCCACTGGACCCACTACGCCAGGAGGTCCTATTGGGCCTTGGTTTCCTGGCTCACCCTAAACAGTTCATACAACAGTTAGAAATGTAAGTTCTTGTTGGGGTTTACAGGGCCACTGACAGCTTACGCCGTATTAAATCTATGTTCGAAGATGAATATATGATATGGAATCACTGTAAAAAATGTGTGACTACAGTGTTAAATAAAAGAATGAAAAATGCTGAAATACATGTACACGTGTACAGATACATCAAAATTCATGTTTATATATCCAGATACAAAAAAAACATACTTTGTGATTCTGAGTCAGTGCAACATCACCTGCTAAGGAAGTTCGTCACAAACACTAAGACTTACTGGTGGTCCTCGTTCTCCAGGAGGTCCAGCAATGCCATCCTTCCCGTCAATCCCTGGAGGACCTGAGGCTCCAGAGAAGCCAGGAGGTCCTTCAGGACCCTGGCCGCCTTGTTCACCGTTGGGTCCTGGGGGTCCTGGTTGGCCAGTGTCGCCCTTCGGTCCAGAAAGTCCGGTTTTTCCTCTCCGTCCTCGAGAGCCACGGAAGCCCTGGTAAGAGACAACATTTGAAGTATTCCGAGATAAGAAACCAATATTTAAGATGTACAGCATAAACGCCGTAAGTTACATTCAACCCAACCTGTTAATTACAACTGCGGAACCGTAGCAAAAGGAGAAATTTATTACTACGACGTTTTACCCATGAGGCTTTATCGAGTACTTAATAAAACCTCATGTAGGCGAAACGTCGAACTAATCAAAGCTTCCTTTTACTGCATGTGTCTCTTTACTCTAGTTTTCATTTGCAGTTTGTAAATAGCTACTAGACACTCACCCTGGGTCCTTGTTCTCCACGCTCGCCTGCCACCCCGGGGTTACCTCGTTCTCCTTTGTCCCCGACTCTTCCCAGGAGACCAGGAGAACCCTTGTCACCTTTGTCTCCAGGAGGACCTGGGTAGCCAGGGAAGCCGGGAACTCCCAGCTTGCCTTTCTCTCCGTGGGAACCCGGTGGACCTGTTTCGCCACGAGGACCTTCGAAACCCTGAAAAGAAAGATAGAGAGAAACACAATTAACAAAACGCTCTCCGGCGTATGGTAAAGCTGGGGAAATGTTCCAATTAGGTTACAACCTTCACCAGTCAACTACAGAGATGAATTGCAGTCCCGGACACAAGATACGACCGATGAAGCCTATGATGCATGCAATACGTTTCATCATTGAGGAGGTCTAGTGATGCGCATGTCTTTGCGTATCTGTAACAGTCTGATTGATCAGAGTTAAAATAAGAATCATTTCAATCATGACACTTCAGACTTATTCCTGCATAGAGCTTTACGTTATTTATATATTGCCGACTTGTTGCTGAAACTGACTTGGAATACTCACACACACACACACACACACACACACACACACACACACACACACACACACACACACACACACACACACACACAGGGATGTTAGAAAGTATTTCTTCGGTCACAGAGTTGTCAGGAAGTGGAATAGTCTGCGAAGTGATGTAGTGGAGGCAGGATCCATATATAACTTTAAGAAGAGGTATGATAAAGCTCATGGAGCAGGAAGAGTGATCTAGTAGCGACCAGTGAAGAGGCGGGGCCAGGAGCTGCAAATCGACCCCTGCAACCACAACTAGGTGAGTACACACACACACACACACATATATGTTTACATATATTCTGATCGGCAGGGTAAAGTCATCTTTCCAATTAGTTAAGTAGTTAATTTTCTGATTATTTAGATAAAGAAATCTAGTTAATTAAGTGAAGCGAACTCCCTGATCAATCAGGTTAATTTGTTAACTCTTAATGTGTATTCTCTTCAGTCTCCATGTACTCTCCCGTCTAGATGGATCTACATATCGTTTGTCAGGCACAATTTTTTTGTTATATGAGTTTACTGGTATTACCTTCGGTCCCTCAGGTCCTTCAAGGCCGATTTGGCCTTCAGGGCCAACCTCTCCACGCTCTCCCTTGACCCCTATGTCTCCCTTGGGCCCGTCTGGTCCGTGTTCGCCCTTGTTTCCTTTTTCTCCTTGAAGGCCTCTGTTGCCCTGGTCACCCTTCACTCCGCGAGGACCTGGGAACCCAAGTGGGCCCTGTGGAAAGAAATAAACATATAAGACCTGAAACCAAGTATCCCAAATGAACCCTTCTAGAAAGCACACATCTGAGGGTATAATGGAACCACGTGAACCTTATGGGAAATCACATGTGAAAGTATAATGGATCCATGATGCTTATTATAACAATAATAATAATAATTTTAATAATAACGAGACCCATGAAGCCCATATATATATACATATATATATATATATATATATATATATATATTTATATATATATATATATATATATATATATATATATATATATATATATATAAGTATAATGTATATTTTGAGATTAACCGTTCTTCAAGATTTCACTTAATCAGTGCAAAGTACCTGTGTCATTGATCACGTAACACCACAATAGTAAATACAGGTGTTACGTGTTAAGTAACATCCCATAAATAAGTGTCATGCATCACGTAACACCACACAAATATGTATGTCACGTAACACCACACAAATATGTGTGTCACCTAACACCACACAAATATGTGTGTGTCACGTAACACCATGCAAGACAGGTGGTACGTGTTATGTAACTTCACACAAGTACGTGTGTCACGTAACACCACACAAATATGTGTGTCACGTAACACCACACAAATATGTGTGTCACGTAACACCACACAAATATGTGTGTCACGTAACACCACACAAATATGTGTGTCACGTAACACCACACAAATATGTGTGTCACGTAACACCACACAAATATGTGTGTGTCACGTAACACCATGCAAGACAGGTGGTACGTGTTATGTAACATCACACAAGTACGTGTGTCACGTAACACCACACAAATATGTGTGTCACGTAACACCACACAAATATGTGTCACGTAACACCACACAAATATGTGTGTCACGTAACACCATACAAATATGTGTGTCACGTAACACCACACAAATATGTGTGTCACGTAACACCACACAAATATGTGTGTCACGTAACACCACACAAATATGTGTGTCACGTAACACCCACAAAAATATGTGTGTCACGTAACACCACACAAATATGTGTGTGTCACGTAACACCATGCAAGACAGGTGGTACGTGTTATGTAACATCACACAAGTACGTGTGTCACGTAACACCACACAAATATGTGTCACGTAACACCACACAAATATGTGTGTCACGTAACACCACACAAATATGTGTGTCACGTAACACCACACAAATATGTGTGTCATGTAACACCACACAAATATGTGTGTCACGTAACACCACACAAATATGTGTGTCACGTAACACCACACAAATAAGCGCAGGTGGTACGCGTTACGTGACACCCTACCAACCATACACAGGCGATAAATATTACCTGAGGTCCAACAGGTCCCTTGTCACCCTTGGAACCGATGGCTCCTGGGTTGCCGTTGTGGCCCGGTAAACCATCAGCTCCGACTAAACCAGGTAAACCAGGCTTTCCACGAGGGCCCTGGAAAAGGTATTCAGTCAGTCAATCAAACCAAAACTTCCCAATAACACAAGAGGTAAAACAATCTTTAACACTAGAAATAAATAAATAAATATATATATATATATATATATATATATATATATTATATATATATATATATATATATATATATATATATATATATATATATATATATATATAAAACGTACTTTCCACACCTTAAACATCTTCATTTTTCGTAACATTGAAATGCTAACGAAAACAGTACGAATGTCGTAAAGACATCATCATGTGGTCGGTTTCACGGTCTTGAGAACGGTCCACTTCCATGGTTTTTAATGATAGATACCATGAAGATGGAGGCTTCTCAAGGCTAAGGGACCGACCTCCTCAGAACTATCTATTCTAATGGACTGATCATATTATCTTTACCTCTCTATTGCTGTTCTAAGAAAAATAATGGAATTCTTTATACGTAAATGAAGAATAACAAGAGAAAACTGGAGGGATTTGCCGTTTGAAGATTCATTTTTAAGAACAATAATAATAATAATAATAATATAATAATAATAATAATAATAATAATTAGGTAAAATATTACACAAAGTTCGGGTTAAGGAAGAGAATCGTGACAATACTCACAGAAGGACCTGGAGGACCTAGAAGACCTTGGGGTCCCGGTGGACCGACAGGCCCAGTGGGACCAGATTGACCAGGAGGCCCCGGCTGTCCAGGGGGTCCAGCGTCTCCCTCGGGTCCAGTGGCACCCTCGCTGCCAGGGATGCCCGGGGCACCTGGCAAGCCAGGGAAACCTCGCGGCCCAATGAATCCTCGAGGACCCTAAAAAAAAAAATCGTATCAGTGGCTCATGATCTCTAAACTGAAAAAAAATAATGAATATCAATGATTATTATCCCCCCCCCCAAAAAAAAATCTCTACACAAAATTAAAATTTTTGATTTATATAACCCGTATTTTAATCAAAATGAGTGTCTGAATAATAATAATAATAATAATAATAATAATAATAATAATAATAATAATAATAATGACGATCTGTAGTAACCAAAGGGTGAAAAAAAAATCTGCGATTTTTTATTCTGGGTCTATGGTAGTAAATTCAGTTTTGTTATTGATTTTATCCATAACTAAAATGTTATGTGGAGTTCCTCGCGGGAAACAGAATCGTAGTTCTTCCCACCGAAGATTAGAACCCGAAAGGGACGTCCTTTACTTAATGAAGTGGAAAACGTAGATGAGGTAAACCAGTAGGTGCTTCACCGCGAGTGCATAGCACTTGTTTGCTAGTGCTGGCACTCGCAAACAAGTGTTATCGTAAACAGAGTGGTGGAAAAGATAGAAAATGCCGTCACTTTACTGGAAACGTTGCAGTCCTGGAGTCTTGGTTAATCCCGCCTGGAGTGACGAATGTCCTAGAGCCCAAACGTTACCGATAAACATGACCTAAGTAATTGCCTTGTTTGCTTTTACCAAGAATCACTAATAGCAAGCACTGGTTAGCCAGTACCTGCAGTTGGTTAAGCCAGTACCTGCGGTTGGTTAAGCCAGTACCTGCGGTTGGTTAAGCCAGTACCTGCGGTTGCTTAGTAACCGATATAGTCACCATCTGACAGAAACTCCGATTTGCTTACGAAAAAAAAAAAAAGATCTGACTCAAAAAACGAGTGGTCCAACATATCAACGTGAACTTGTCGTTTTCCGGGACGAATTCACCTGTCAAAATTACTGTTTTGTAGAGAGCGACACTGTCTCATGACTTGCTTGAACTCGTCTTATTCTTTTTGAGGACAGATTCAAAATGAGGAATTCATAAAGGATCATATTTTTATTATGGGAACTTTTCGCCGTAATAAAACGTTTTCAGAATAAAGATAGCCAAGTGTTGTCTTTTTTTCTAATGCGTTTATATAATAGTCTTTGATAACCGAAGCGATAAATGGCCTATTCTTGGGTGATGGCATTTATTGGATAAGGTACTAAGAAAGATATATTCTTCTGTGAGGGCTTACCATCTCTCCTGGGAGACCAGGGACACCTGGAGACCCAGGTTCACCTGGCATGCCATCGTGACCTGTAAGACCTGCCTCGCCCGGGACTCCAACTACGCCACGGTCACCTTTCTCCCCGGGCACACCTGAAGGGGGTCACATAAGGACAAGGTCAGTCCAACTGCTATCACAGAGACATGGTAATTAACAGTGATCAGTAACACAGACAACCCAACACAGACACAATAAAATATAAGAGTCAAACTGAAGAGGCCCTGAGTATGATGGGATAATAATGAATATACTCATAATCTGCTTCACCATCCCCATGCGACACTGAGAAATGTACAGTTTAACCCTCAGTGTACAGCAGAACTTACGTTAATGTACGCCATCAATTAATTAGTGCCTTAATTACTCCCAATTATTCAAATATATATAAACCTAACGAAACTAATAATTGTTTTATAAGGAGAGGCTTCGAATTTATAATATGCCAAGAACATTTGTAATTTACACAAAATAAGAGATGAGGGGCAAATGTTCTGAAGAAGAATCGTGAATGTTGAATGTTTAGACAACGTTTACAAAATTATTTTTAAATATAATTAGAAGAATGTTTATATTATCAAAATGATATATAATGAAGTCTCTCCTAACATAAGATTGAAAATAATTACCTTAATTATGAAGAATAGAGAGTTATCAAATTACTTTGTCAAAATATGAAATAACAATGTGAGAATAACAAAAAAAAAAATTAAACACTGTTACCATAACAAATCAAGATAACAAGTCATGATTAAGATACATGTGCAACAGTTAGGTATCTTTATTGCTGAAACGTTTCGCCTACACAGTAGGTTTCTTCAGTCACATACGGAGGCAGTACATATAGTAGTGAGATGAAGACGATGTAATCAGTCCATCATTACTGGAGAAACAGTACTTGAAGGGTCAGTCCCTCAATCGTAGAGCCGATCTCTTCACCAGTTTGAGGGACTGACCACCTCAAGTACTGCTGCCTCCGTATTTGACTGAAGAAATCTACTGTATAGGCTAAAAGTATCAATACTAAAATTCCAAAACTGTTGTACGTGTGTCTTTATCATCAACTTCTCGGTATTTTATACAATTTTCAACATAACAGAGTTACATTTACTGGAGTAAATAAATTTAAAGAAAAACGCAGAAATTCACACCTAACCCACACACTGGAGTTAAAAACCTAGACCACTTGATAATGGTCCCAGGAGGGAGCGGAATATCTAGTGTCATCTCCACTTGGTAGGTTAGGTGGGAATTGTTCCACCCGTTCTTTGTGTTCCTAATTTTTATTCTTAGATGTGGTAGGTCTAATGGCCCATACTAGGCAGGTTCTTCTCAAACCCAAAAACATTAACAAATAAAATTTGCCCAACCCATTTTCAAGGCGCAATCGGGGTGGATCCTAGAACGAGGAGGTTTGTTCCAACTCCTTGCATCAAGAATGGTTTATCAGAGGGCTTGGCTGACTGACCTGGTAGTCCTCTGAGACCTGCGTCTCCCTTGGTCCCAGGTATCCCTGAGAGACCTCGCTCCCCGTCTCGACCTGGTCGTCCTCGTCGGCCTCGTTGCCCTAGTCGACCTAACTGGCCCCGCATACCTCTCGGGCCCTGTGGAGAGAGAGGTGGCAGGTACAGGAGGAGGGATAGAGGGGAAGGTAGACGCTGGTCCTGGAGCTAGGACTCAACTCCAGAGCAAATTTGGAGAGGTAAATACAAATTTACAGTGTCTCTCATCTCTCTCTTTCTCTCTCTCTCTCTCTCTCTCTCTCTCTCTCTCTCTCTCTCTCTCTCTCTCTCTCTCTCTCTCTCTCTCTCTCTATCTATCTTATATCTATCTATTTATCTATCTCTCACACACACAAAAAAAAAAAACTTACCGGTTCTCCCATGTCTCCTGGTTCTCCCTTGAGACCGGAATCTCCCTGAGGACCTTCAGGTCCGGGCAGACCTGTAAGACCCCTGGGACCAGCCACTCCCTGCATGGCCATCATGTGCTGAGAGAGCTGCTGTTGAAATTGCTCCAGCATCTGGTCAGGACCCTTCTCGTTGCCTTGAAGATTGAGCTGCGGGAGTGGACAAATTTATCATTAAAAAAATGGGGGATGTGATTTGGACCTGACTAGTTTGCACTAGTGGCTTAGGCCGGTAGGTGACTTGGACCTGACTAATTTGCACTAGTGGCCTAGGTCAGTAGGTGACTTGGACCCGACTAGCTTGAACTAGTGGCCTAGACCGGTAGGTGACTTGGACCTGACTAACTTTCACTAGTGGCCTAGGCCGGTAGGTGACTTGGACCTGACTAACTTGCACTAGTGGCCTAGGCCGGTAGGTGACTTGGACCTGACTAGCTTGCACTAGTGGCCTAGGCCGGTAGGTGACTTGGACCTGACTAACTTGCACTAGTGGCCTAGGCCGGTAGGTGACTTGGACCTGACTAACTTGCACTAGTGGCCTAGGCCGGTAGGTGACTTGGACCTGACTAGCTTGCACTAGTGGCCTAGGCCGGTAGGTGACTTGGACCTGACTAGCTTGCACTAGTGGCCTAGGCCGGTAGGTGACTTGGACCTGACTAACTTGCACTAGTGGCCTAGGCCGGTAGGTGACTTGAACCTGACTAACTTGCACTAGTGGCCTAGGCCGGTAGGTGACTTGGACCTGATTAACTTGCACTAGTGGCCTAGGCCGGTAGGTGACTTGGACCTGACTAGCTTGCACTAGTGGCCTAGGTCGGTAGGTGACTTGGACCTGACTAACTTTCACTAATGGCCTAGGCCGGTAGGTGACTTGGACCTGACTAACTTGCACTAGTGGCCTAGGCCGGTAGGTGACTTGGACCTGACTAGCTTGCACTAGTGGCCTAGGTCGGTAGGTGACTTGGACCTGACTAACTTTCACTAATGGCCTAGGCCGGTAGGTGACTTGGACCTGACTAACTTGCACTAGTGGCCTAGGCCGGTAGGTGACTTGGACCTGACTATCATGGCCTAGTAGACTTACGCGGCACTCCTCCGTTCTTACGTTTTCAAGAAATAAGATACATGGACTGTATTAGGCTTTTCACTTCCGAAGAATCAAGCGTGGAACTTCCCAACTCCCATCATTATTTTGGACTATGTACTCAAATCCCTTCATTATATGAGACTGTACTCAAATCACATCACTATGTGGTACTATGTACTCATAACAACTCATTTTATTAGACTATGTGCTCGACAAGACAGACAGTAAACGTATTTTAGTTCTACTCGATGTTTATAAACAAGTAAAAGAATATAATCGGTACGTGGCTCACCGGGATCATGAAGACGTGTCCAGGTGGACCAGATATTCCGTCCGTCCCGGGAATACCGCTTCTGCCAGGGTCACCCTTAGGACCCGGGAAACCTGGAGGACCCGGTGGCCCTGGGTAACCTCTCAGCACCCCAGGTGGAACAAAGCTCACAGCGGCGGCGGCATCGTAATCCTGAAAAGGGAAAGAAAAAGAAAGGTTTTTTTGCATCTGGGGTTTGGAAGTATAATATTCAACAGCGTATCGACGGGGAGGAAAAAAAGATAGACGCAAAGGCAGTATGATGAGTTTCTTTATTGACATCACTCTTTACTGAGAAAATGGTATGGGAATACCGACGAGATGTGGAAAAGGATATTAGTGTACCGTTCAGGATATTTATTTTAGATGACCGGATCATAGTGTTGGTGTATTTGTATAAAGTTTGTCAGGAAACAGGACAAGAGTTTCCTGACGCGGGTCTTAGTTATATTATGACCTGCAGTTGGAGAGATAGTGTTGGTGCGTCGCAATGCAGCATATAAGAGCATTTGAAACATCAGATTCTCGTGAACACTCACAGCAGAAGTCTGGTTCTCAGTTTCGTAAGACTCGGTGGTGGTGGTGTCGACGGTGTCTAAGGAGTAGACGGTCTCGTCGTCGTTGCCGCCAGCGTACTCGAGGTGGGTGGAGCCCAGGAAGGTCTGATCGGGGAGTTCCTGGTCGCAGTCGGGCATGTAGCTCTTGCAGTGATCGTATGCAGCTTCGGGACCCGACACGATGTCCAGTTGTTGAATGTCACCCTGAGGAGTGGAGGAACGAAACTATTATTACAATCACGGAGAAGCGCTAAATCCTTAGAGATCACAGAGTGCCTTTGGAAATGGGATTCCATCTTATTTGATCCCTGGAAGGGTAAGTATATATTGTTCAGACATAGAATTACGCTATGAGCAGCTCTTGGTCATTTTATGACTGACTTCTTACCAAGAGTCACCCAAAATGTACCTGGAACTCACCACTTGGAGGCGGCTGTCTTACAGAACTGGAGACACGTTTGTAGAAAATGCCACTGTAGCGGGATGGAAACGTCCTAAGACAACGTTTCGCTTGTGGACCAACCTCTCTGACATGAGAAAGCATAGTATCCAAAAGAAACGTTCGTAATACTTTTCCATTCTGCTACAGTTTCTTTTTATCAGTTTTTTTGGGTGTTTGATCTATTACTCCCAAATGTGTGTATATTATCTTCCAGTTGCTGGACGTTGACGGAGGTCAGGAAGCGAGGGAGGCAATGTAGAAGAGGACTTGACGAACATAATAAAAGTAAATTTGGGATGAGCAGAAGGGAAGGTGGTGGAGGAAACGTAAATAAAGTCGAACATTTTGTACATACTGTAACCCTTGTTTAATTAATTAGAAAACTACATGAAGCGTCAGTTTTGAAACACGAAAATAATAATTTCAGCTCCGTAAGTTACTATACACATATAAGAATGATTCATGCAGAAACACTAAAATCAATTATATTTCTGCGAAACAATGTACAGTATACAACTTTTTCTTTGTGGGAAAAATATTTAATCAGTATTATATATGATTATTGCCTGGAGCAGAAAAGGTCCCAGAAAGGGGTCGAAATATACAGACCGGTTATTTTTCTGCGTTGTGTTTCCGTGTGGGTTATTATTGAGCACTGACAAGTGTTCACTACGCTTTCATTATAGACAGACAGAATGGACGGGCCTGAGAAGAGCAATGTACCATACGTTACTTTCCTAAGCACTTTCATAGAGAAATGCACATCATTACTGATTCAAACTGAAGGAAGAATGTATAATATCAAGGGGTCACATTCGCCCTTTAAACCAGAGCGCAGCGAGGATGCATCAGACAAGTTACTTAAATAGGACTTCACGTGGTCCGTAATATTTTTAAGTGGAGTTGATCCCTAGCACGGGTACAGCAGCCGCTGCTGAGCCACGAGTGGCTCATAAAATGAATAAGACCCACGTCGAGGAATATTTCTATTTACATTTTTAAACAGGGCTTCGTGCAATTTACTCATTGACGCGGTGTGGATACTTGACAAGAATAAGCCAGTGGCTACTTAGCCACTTGGGTAGATCCTACGACTATGACTTGCGCCAAGAAACATTTCTACTGACGACTGAAACACGTCTTTCCGATGGAACGAAGGATTACTCACGGCGAAGAACTTGGCCTCGAGGAGTTGCTGTCCGAGGAGGATGATGCCGGCGTTGGAGACGTGTGACGGGGAGTCCCTGGGCAGTTTGTGGGTGGTAGTGGTCTCACAGTCCACCAGCAGCGTCACGCTGTTCCCCTTCACGCTCAGTCCCAGTCTGTGCCACCTGCAGGAGGAAAGGTTAAAGTTCTGGTTATAACGGTCAAACACAAACAATCCTTGTGACATGGAAGAACAACAGCTAAAGTTCTTGTCAAAACAGTGAAACACAACCAGTCCTTCTGACATGGAAGACAACTGGTGAAAATCTCGTTTTAACAGGTGAAACATGGTCAGTTTTTGTCTCCTGCAAGACAACAGTTAAAACTCTTGCAACACCAGTGAAACACAGTCAGTGCCACCTACGGCATAGCTCTCGTATTAGCTACTAAGGAATCATCCTAGATAATGCAGATAAATGGTTCATCTTGAAATCTTGATACAGTGAATTCTACGCTTGCCTAACCTATAGGCATGACCAACTTCCACCTGTGGAATTTTCCAAGGTCACACCGCCTGCGACTGCAGTAGGTCAACAGGCCTACTGCAGTGTTCCTCCTTTCTTATGTTCTTATGTAACTCACCTGTCCGCAGTATATAAACCACTTCTCCGCGCATACACTATGTTCTTATCAAGATTGATGGACTGGTCACATCGACTCCAGGGTGAGGGATTGATTACCTCAAACTCCCTTTTCTCTGTATTGGACTGAAAAAGCCACTGGATGGCGAAACGTTTCCAAAATAAAAATTCCCAAGTGTTGCACAAATGTGTAATTCATCCTAGCTAATCATCCAGCGATGGATGTGAGTCAAGACGAAAGAAAGGCAGAACAATGTGTATCATATCACTGATGATTAACAATAACGATGAATAAGACACTTTTGAAATACTTCTGTCTCTTTATTTCTTGAAACGTTTCGCCCACACATTAGGCTTCTTAAGTCGATAGTCGAATGCAGGAGGCAGTAGAATTCAAAAAGCAGTAGAAGGAGTTTTGAGGTTATCAGTCAGTCACCATCAGTGGGAAGGCGGGGTCAGTCCCTCAGCTTAAAGTACAGGTAAGCGGCCAGACCTTACATAGAGTAGAGGTGAGAAGAAGCAAACGTGTCTTGTACATGTATGGTACACAAATACCGACAAGATGAATTAGACACATATGCAACATCTGGGTATCTTTATTGTGGATGTTTCGCCCTCTAGTGGCTTTACCACTACAAATTCAAGGACATAGTTAGAAGAGAGTAGAACTATATACAAAAGATGAGGTAATCAATCCTTCAGCCTGAATCTAGTATATAAATGTCAGTTTTCTTGCCTGTGCTTGACATTCTTCACGACTACGGTGCTCCTCACCAACTCCAAGACTGAGGTCAGACTCATTACCTCATCTTTTGTATATAGTTCTACCGTCTTCTAATTATGTTATTGAATTTGTTTTGATAAAGCCACTGGATGGCGAAACGTCTACAATATACCCAGATGCTGCACATGTGTCTAATTTTTCAAAAATGTCTTGACTGATCATGTTGTGAATGGTAGGGTCATGATGACAAATCATGGATAAGGGTAAGTACGGCCGTACTGTGTTAGAGTACAGCGAGAGTATACCTGGAGGTACCTAGAAAGGGTTCCAGAGGTAAACTCCCCCGCTGCCAGGTCTGTGACCATGGTAAATAAGACACACAGTGCCATAACCCATCTTTATGTTTCCTTTATAAGAACATTTAACAACATGTCAGGACATTTATCAAGAGGAGCGTATCGCCACGAGGGGCCTTCATCATATTATGACTGAAAAAGAAACCCCTCGTGGCGACATCATGGAATCTTGGTACACAGGACATCTCCATAACCTTCTTGCTTACTCCTGGCCACTATCCTTTGGGTATGACCTACTGAAGAATCCTGCTTACCAATGACAATGCCTTCGTCTGCTACACCTCCCTCACCTGACGCCGATACATAAGCGCCAAACTTCATGCCTGAAGACTATGGTGATCTTCACCACCTCCAAGATTGCCTCATTTTGTAAATAATTCTAAATTCTTCACATTATGTCCTTGTATTGATAAAACCACTGGTAGGCGAAACGTCTACAAATAAAGATACCCAGATGTTACACGTGAGTCTAATTATCAAACATTCTCTTAAATATTCTGAGCTGTTCATGGGCGTCTTTTTCCACTGAATATTAAAGTAAGCTTAAATATGCGTGTTCTTCAGAACTGCAATTTAATAATTAGGAGACGTGTGTGTATATAAGGCAGTAGCAGCAAGTGCCGCTAAAGATAAGGCTGAAGGAGAGATGGAGGAGAAGATACTACCTTAGAGATGACGTAAGGAACGAATCAGTGGGATGTAGGACGGGACAAGTAACAGGGAGGAAACGGATCAAAGAACAGGGAGAAAACGGGCCAAAGAACAAGGAGGAAACGGGTCAAGTAACAGGGAGGAAACAGGTCAAAGAACAAGGAGGAAACGGACCAAGTAACAGGGAGGATACGGGACAAAGAACAGGGAGGAAACGGGTCAAAGAACAGGGAGGATACGGGTCAAGTAACAGGGAGGATACGGGTCAAGTAACAGGGAGAATACGGGTCAAAGAACAGGGAGGAAACGGATCAACAGGGAGGATACGGGCCAAAGAACAAGGAGGAAACGGGTCAAGTAACAGGGAGGAAACGGGTCAAAGAACAGGGAGGAAACAGGTCAAAGAACAAGGAGGAAACGGACCAAGTAACAGGGAGGATACGGGACAAAGAACAGGGAGGAAACGGGTCAAAGAACAGGGAGGATACGGGTCAAAGAACAGGGAGGAAACGGGTCAAGTAACAGGGAGGATACGGGTCAAGTAACAGGGAGAATACGGGTCAAAGAACAGGGAGGAAACGGATCAAGTAACAGGGAGGATACGGGACAAAGAACAGGGAGGAAACGGGTCAAAGAACAGGGAGGAAACGGATCAAGTAACAGGGAGGATACGGGACAAAGAACAGGGAGGAAACGGGTCAAAGAACACGGAGGATACGGGTCAAAGAACAGGGAGGAAACGGGTCAAGTAGCAGGGAGGATACGGGTCAAAGAACAGGGAGGAAACGGGTCAAGTAACAGGGAGGATACGGGTCAAGTAACAGGGAGGATACGGGTCAAAGAACAGGGAGGGAACGGGTCAAGTAACAGGGAGGATACGGGTCAAGTAACAGGGAGGATACGGGTCAAAGAACAGGGAGGAAACTGGTCAAGTAACAGGGAGGAAACGGGTCAAAGAAAAAGGAGGAAACGGGTCAAGTAACAGGGAGGAAACGGGTCAAAGAACAAGGAGGAAACGGGTCAAGTAACAGGGAGGAAACGGGTCAAAGAACAGGGAGGAAACGGGTCAAGTAACAGAGAGGATACGGGTCAAAGAACAGGGAGGAAACGGGTCAAAGAACAGGGAGGATACGGGTCAAAGAACAGGGAGGAAACGGGTCAAGTAACAGGGAGGATACGGGTCAAGTAACAGGGAGGATACGGGTCAAAGAACTAGGAGGAAACGGGTCAAGTAACAGGGAGGAAACGGGTCAAGTAACAGGGACGAAACGGGTCAAAGAACAAGGAGGAAACGGGTCAAGTAACAGGGAGGAAACGAGTCAAAGAACAAGGATGAAACGGGTCAAGTAACAGGGAGGAAACGGGTCAAGTAACAGGGAGGATACGGGTGAAAGAACAAGGAGGAAACGGGTAAAGTAACAGGGAGGATACGGGTCAAAGAACAAGGAGGAAACGGGTCAAGTAACAGGGAGGAAACGGGTCAAAGAACAAGGACGAAACGGGTCAAGTAACAGGGAGGAAACGGGTCAAGTAACAGGGAGGATACGGGTCAAAGAACAAGGAGGAAACGTGTCAAGTAGCAGGGAGGAAACGGGTCAAGTAACAGGGTGGATACGGGTCAAGTAACAGGGTGGATACGGGTCAAGTAACAGGGTGGATACGGGTCAAGTAACAGGGTGCATACGGGTCAAGTAACAGGGTGGATACGGGTCAAAGAACAAGGTAATGAACAACAGAGCATGAAACAAAAGTCTAGTTTAATTATATAACATCACAGCAGAAACAAAACTTCAGGAGTACTCAGCAGTGATAATAATAATAATAATAATAATAATAATAATAATAATAATAATAATAATAATAATAATAATAAATATTAGTACATTATTATTATTATTATTATTATTATTATTATTATTATTATTATTATTATTATTATTATTATTATTATTACTTTATCTTTTGTTCATAAACTTGAGATGTAAGATGAACATGAAGTTGTAATTAGAGAGAGTCAACAACACGTGGGACAATGAAGAGAACTTTGTAACAGTCTCCACCAACCAACACTTAGGCTGCAATTTTTTACAAGGTCAAGATGATCTGAACTCATATTCCACAGAGTGGTGGTGGTGGTGGTGGTGATGGTGATGGTGATGGTGGTGGTGGTGGTGATAGTGGTGGTGGGGTGATGGTGATGGTGATGGTGGTGGTGGTGATGGTGGTGGTGATGGTGGTGGTGATGGTGGTGGTGGTGGTGGTGATGGTGGTGGTGGTGATGGTGGTGGTGATGGTGATGGTGATGGTGATGGTGGTGGTGGTGGTGTGATGGGTGTGGTGGTGGTGATGGTGGTGGTGTGTGGTGGTGGTGGTGATGGTGGTGATGGTGATGGTGGTGGTGATGGTGATGGTGGTGGTGGTGGTGATGGTGGTGGTGGTGGTGATGGTGGTGGTGGTGGTGATGGTGGTGGTGGTGGTGGTGGTGGTGATGGTGGTGGTGGTGGTGATGGTGATGGTGGTGGTGGTGGTGATGGTGGTGGTGTGGTGATGGAGGTGTGTGGTGGTGGTGGTGATGGTGGTGATGGTGATGGTGGTGGTGATGGTGGTGGTGGTGGTGATGGTGGTGATAGTGTGGTGGTGGTGATGGTGATGGTGATGGTGGTGGTGGTGGTGGTGGTGGTGGTGGTGGTGGTGGTGATGGTGGTGGTGATGGTGTGGTGGTGGGGTGATGGTGGTGGTGGTGTGATGGTGGTGGTGATGGTGATGGTGATGGTGGTGGTGATGGTGGTGGTGATGGTGGTGTGGTGGTGTGGTGGTGTGATGGTGGTGATGGTGATGGTGGTGGTGATGGTGGTGGTGATGGTGATGGTGGTGGTGATGGTGGTGGTGATGGTGGTGGTGATGGTGATGTGGTGATGGTGATGGTGATGGTGGTGGTGATGGTGGTGGTGGTGATGGTGATGGTGATGGTGGTGGTGATGGTGATGGTGATGGTGGTGGTGATGGTGGTGGTGATGGTGGTGGTGGTGGTGGTGTGGTGATTGTGGTGATGGTGATGGTGGTGGTGATGGTGGTGGTGTGGTATGGTGGTGATAGTGGTGGTGGTGGTGATGGTGATGGTGATGGTGGTGGTGTGGTGTGGTGGAGTGGTGGTGGTGGTGGTGGTGAATGGTGGTGGTGAGGTGTGATGGTGGTGTGATGGTGATGGTGGTGATGGGATGGTGATGTGGTGGTGGTGATGGTGGTGGTGGTGGGGTGTGGTATGGTGGATGGAGAGGAGGTGGTGATGGTGGTGGTGGTGGGATGGTGAGTGGTGGTGGTGGTGTTGGTTGGGTGGTGATGGTGGTGTAGGTGGTGGTGTGGGTGGTGGTGAGTGTGGTGGTGGAGGGTGGTGGTGGTGGTGATTGGGTGGTGATGGTGGAAGGTGAGTGGTGATGGTGATGGGTGAGTGGTGGAGGTGATGGTGATGGTGGTGGGTGGTGGTGGTGGTGGGGGAGTGGTGGTGGTGTTGGTCATGGTGGCGATGGATCATGGTGGTGGTGGTGGTGTTGGTGGTTATGGTGGTGATGGTGGTGTGTGTGGTGGGGGTGGTGGTGGTGGTGTGGTGTGGTTATGGTGGTGGTGGAGGTGATGGTGGTGGTGGGGATGGTGGTGGTGGTGGTGATGTGATGGTGGTTGGTGGTGGTGATGATGATGATGGTGGTGGTGGTGGAGGTGGTGATGGTGATCGAGGGGTGGTGGTGTGGTGACGGTGGTGGTGATGGTGGTGTTGGTGGTGGTGATGGTGGTGATGGTGGTGATGGTGGTGGTGATGGTGGTGATGATGGTGATTGTGGTGGTGATAGCTCGCGTTTCCCTCACAAAAGGAAAATTTTTCACCCAGTCAAAATTTGTTCTCTGTTCCTTCTGTATTTAGCACTTTGGAGAAAAATTTCGAGTAGCGTCGTTGGTGTGGGAACTGTGGGTGTGGGCGGGGCAGGAGACGGAGCAGCCTTGCATAGGTCAGTAGGCCTGATGCAGTGCTTCTCATTTTTTTGTTCTTGATGGGAAAGGAACCTCTTTCGAAACCTTTCCAGTTCAATAAAATCAACCCATCCATTCTTCTCTGCAGTAATTTCTGCGACTCGGTCGTAATGGCTTAATAGATCTGATATACAGGCATTTATTTGCAGGTAAAAAAAAAATATTTGATAGGTTTGTGCTCTCTAAAAGTGTGCTCAGATTTTTTCTATAGCTCTGGAAACGTTTCGCAACGACACTTAGAAATCTTGACGTTTCGCTGTAAGAGTACATTCTTATTTTACAACTGCAGACTCACGTTCCCTCTGCTGACACTGATACAAAGTAGTCCGAGTCTGTTTTCTCGTGTCCACGTGTAACCTTGTATGTGGTTATATAGGTTAAATCTACATAATGAACTACATATGCGTGACCGCAACATCTAGGTGCCCTCAAAACTATTGTAAGACTTTTAAATTACAGCAAAATTTCTTGTAGTTTGCCATAAATAAAAACGCAGTGGCCGTTTCAAAGATCATATTTCTTAACTCTGGGAACCATTCTGAAGCAATATTACTACTACTACTACTACTACTACTACTACTACTAATTACTACTACTATTGCTACTGCTACTTCTACTACTATTGCTACTACTACTACTACTATTGCTACTACTACTACTACTACTATAACTACTACTACTACTACTAAAACTACTACTACTACTACTACTGCTACTACTGTTACTACTACTACTATTATTGCTACTGCTAATACTATTATACTATTATTATTACTACTGCTACTACCATCTACTACTACTACTACTACTATTACTAGTACTATTATTGCTACTGCTACTACTACTACTACTACTACTACTACCAATAATAATAATAATAATAATAATAATAATAATAATAATAATTTAAAAATAATAATAATAATAATATGATAATGATTAATAATAGAGAGAAAGGCGAAGGAGAGGAAAAAGAAGAAAGACAAAAGAAATAACATTTAGTATAAAAGAGACACAAAACACCCACGAGGAGAAAAGTCGTACCACCAGGAGAACGACAACAACATCTACACAAGGACAGCGACAGCACGAACACACACACACACACACACACACACACACACACAACACACACACACACGAGAGAGAGAGAGAGAGGAGAGGATGAACCAGCAAGACTGGACTTAGTATTCACCTTGAGTAGTGCAGATATTGAGGACATCACATATGAAAGACCCCTTGGGGCCAGCGATCATGTGGCTTTAAGCTTCGAATACACAGTAGAGCTACAAATGGAGGGAGAAGCAGGAAGGCCAGGACGAATGAAGCCAAACTACAAGAAAGGGGACTACATGGGAATGAGGAACTTCATGAACGGGGTTCAGTGGGACAGAGAACTGGCAGGGAAGCCAGTTAATGAGATGATGGAATATGTAGCAACAATGTGCAAGGAGGCTGAGGAGAGGTTTGTACCCAAGGGTAACAGGAATAATGAAAAAGCCAGGATGAGCCCATGGTTCACCCAAAGGTTCAGGGAGGCAAAAACCAAGTGTGCTAGGGAATGGAAGAAATATAGAAGGCAAAGGACCCAGGAGAATAAGGAGAGCAGTCGTAGAGCCAGAAACGAATATGCACAGATAAGAAGGGAGGCCCAACGACAATATGAAAACGACATAGCAGCGAAAGCCAAATCTGACCCGAAACTGTTATACAGCCACATCAAGAGGAAAACAACAGTCAAGGACCAGGTAATCAGGCTAAGGAAGGAAGGAGGAGAGACAACAAGAAATGACCGTGAAGTATGTGAGGAACTCAACAAGAGATTCAAAGAAGTGTTCACAGAGGAGACAGAAGGGGCTCCAGAAAGACGGAGAGGTGGGGCACACCACCAAGTACTGGACACAGTGCACACAACCGAGGAAGAAGTGAAGAGGCTTCTAAGTGAGCTAGATACCTCAAAGGCAATGGGGCCAGATAACATCTCCCCATGGGCCCTGAGAGAGGGAGCAGAGGCGCTATGTGTACCCCTAACAACAATATTCAATACATCTATCGTAACAGGGAGATTGCCTGAGGCATGGAAGACAGCAAATGTAGTCCCAATCTTTAAAAAAGGAGACAGACATGAAGCACTAAACTACAGACCAGTGTCACTGACATGTATAGTATGCAAAATCATGGAGAAGATTATCAAGAGAAGAGTGGTGGAACACCTAGAAAGGAATGATCTCATCAACAGCAGCCAACATGGTTTCAGGGACGGGAAATCCTGTGTCACAAACCTACTGGAGTTCTATGACATGGTGACAGCAGTAAGACAAGAGATAGAGGAGTGGGTGGATTGCATGTTCTTGGACTGCAAGAAGGCGTTTGACACAGTTCCACACAAGAGATTGGTGCAAAAACTGGAGGACCAAGCAGGGATAACAGGGAAGGCACTACAGTGGGTCAGGGAATACTTGTCAGGAAGACAGCAGCGAGTCATGGTACGTGGCGAGGTGTCAGAGTGGGCACCTGTGACCAGAGGGGTCCCACAGGGGTCAGTCCTAGGACCAGTGCTGTTTCTGGTATTTGTGAACGACATGACGGAAGAAATAGACTCCGAAGTGTCTCTGTTTGCAGATGACGTGAAGTTGATGAGAAGAATTCACTCGATCGAAGACCAGGCAGAACTACAAAGGGATCTGGACAGGCTGCAGACCTGGTCCAGCAAGTGACTCCTGGAGTTCAATCCCACCAAGTGCAAAGTCATGAAGATTGGGGAAGGGCAAAGAAGACCGCAGACGGAGTACACTCTAGGGGGCCAGAGACTACAAACCTCACTCAAGGAAAAAGATCTTGGGGTGAGTATAACACCAGGCACATCTCCTGAAGCGCACATCAACCAAATAACGGCTGCAGCATATGGGCGCCTAGCAGACCTCAGAACAGCATTCCGACATCTTAATAAGGAATCGTTCAGGACTCTGTACACCGTGTACGTTAGGCCCATATTGGAGTATGCGGCACCAGTTTGGAACCCACACCTAGCCAAGCACGTAAAGAAACTAGAGAAAGTGCAAAGGTTTGCAACAAGACTAGTCCCAGAGCTAAGAGGTATGTCCTACGAGGACAGGTTAAGGGAAATCAACCTGACGACACTGTAGGACAGGAGAGATAGGGGGGACATGATAACAACATACAAAATACTGAGAGGAATTGACAAGGTGAACAAAGACAGGATGTTCCAGAGATTGGAGACAGTAACAAGGGGACACAGTTGGAAGTTGAAGACACAGATGAATCACAGGGATGTTAGGAAGTATTTCTTCAGCCACAGAGTAGTCAGGAAGTGGAATAGTATGGGAAGAGATGTAGTGGAGGCAGGATCCATACATAGCTTTAAGCAGAGGTATGATAAAGCTCACGGTTCAGGGAGAGTGACCTAGTAGCGATCAGTGAAGAGGCGGGGCCAGGAGCTCGGGATCGACCCCTGCAACCTCAACTAGGTGAGTACAACTAGGTGAACACACACACACACACACACACACACACACACACACACAAACTCTCTTAAACTCACTTTCCGTCATTAATCGCCACGCCGAACTCCAGAGTGTTCCCCTCCTTGGGGTTGTTGTTGACGTCCTGGTAGAAGAGCTTGATGGTTCCTCCCACTTCAACCAGTATCTGGTCCTCGCCAGCGTCGGAGTACAGACCGAAAAGCACAGAGGTTGATCCTTGCTCGGGCCGCAGCGTCGCCATTATACTGAAGTCTTCAGGAAACTCTCCTGTCGAGCGGGCCAAAAATGAACAAAGTTGTTATTTATTAAAAAAAAAGGTGTTGAAAAGTTACAGTTCCGTAACTGGAGCAATTAGTAATTGTCCTAAACTTGGAGATGAAAATAGAAACAAAGCTTTTCGATCCATTCCGATCTCATAATGGTTCAGGAAGGACTGGTCGAAACGTCGTCTAGTTTTATCTACAGTCTGTAACGGCTGCGATCTTTCTCTATATATACCTGCTTGTTTCTGCGTGTGTATATATATATATATATATATATATATATATATATATATATATATATATATATTATATATATATATATATATATATATATATATATGCAAGGAATTCGCAAGGGCAGGCGAAATATACACAAACACTGATCTCTAGCTGAATGAGACTCGAACCTACGAACCTTGGAACAAGGTACGCAGTGCTATACCAAACTCACCACACTGGGCCAATACCTTGTAGTCCAGCTTGCGCTAGACTTTGATCCAAGGCAGCCAGCTTTCAGGGAGAAGGCTTACAGCTTTTCATCTCATCCCCTGCATGCATCAGCCTTACTAGAGATTTTAACAATGTTTGTGTATATTTCCCCTGCTCTTGCGAATTCCTTGCATTGTTAAAATCTCTAGTAAGGCTGATGCATGCAGGGGATGAGATGAATAGATGTAAGCCTTCTCCCTGAAAGCTGGCTGCCTTGGATCAACGTCTAGCGCAAGCTGGACGCCAAGGTATTGGTCCAGTATGGTGAGAATGGTAATGCTCTGCGTATCTTGTTCCAAGGTTCGTAAGTTCGAGTCTCCTTCAGCCATATATATATATATATATATATATATATATATATATATATATATATATATATATATATGTCGTGCCGAATAGGCAGAACTTGCGATCTTGGCTTAAATAGCAACGCTCATCTTGCCATATAGGACAAGCGAAAATTTGTGTATGCAATAATTTCGCCAAAATCAATCTGAACCTAACGAAAAAAGTATATTTTACTGTGTTTGTTTAGTATTAAATTATTGTAAACAAATCTAAAATATATTTAGTTGGATTAGGCTAAACTAAATTGTTCTTGTTACAATAAGGTTAGGTAAGTTTTCTAAAATTCTTTTGGGGCAAAATTAAAATTTTTTACATTAACATTAAAGAAAAAAATATATCTTTAAACGTATAAGAGAAAATTTTAGAAAGAACTTAATTTTAAATGAGTTCTTGCTAATTGACCAGTTTTACATATTCGGCACGACATATATATATATATATTTATATATATATAATATATATTATATATATATATATATATATATATATATATATATATATATATATATATTTTGCGAAACACTACTATATACAAGGGCTTTATAAAGGAGCTGACTGTATAAATTCCCCTCTTTAGAGCAACTGGTTACAATGTATATACACGTACTTGCGATAGAAGAAGCTGGTAGGCGTTTCAATGCTCTTCCTGGTGCTTTGCTATGTATAAAAACCCTTATGGTGACATCACCAGCAACTTACTGGTGACATCACATCACCAACTACCTGCTGGTGACCTCATGCACACCCAGACACTTACCAAAGACGAGCCACCTAGTGGTGACCTCACACACTTACCGGGGAAGAGGTTGGCGGTGGGTACGGTGAGGACTGCCTGTTCGGTGACCTTGTATGCTACATCAGGTCCCCCTGGGTCTCCTGGGCGGCTGTCACACATACCCCGGGTCTCCAGCACGCCCAGTGGCTGTCCCGCCACGCCCACCGCCTCCAACAGACTGCCCCTTGCTGCAACCAGACATAAACAAACATTAATATTCACGAGATGGTCTCAAAAGATAACAATAATAATAATATTAATAATAATATTAATAATAATGTTTTTTCAACGTGACAGATGTTATAAAATTTGATGACATTTGAGCGTGTACACACGTGTGGGGTTGTGTACACATGTACAGTCTATCACCGCCTAACACCATCTTCCACCACCACCACTTATAGCTAGTGATATTTCGTAATATAGATGCAGCCACCGTGGAGGTGGCTGCATCACCTACGACCACCTACCATCCCCATCACCTACGACCACCTACCATCACTCTCACCACCTAAAGTCATCTGTCACCACTATCACCACCTGACGCCACCTCTCACTAACACTTAACACACCCACAACCTACCAGCCCCATCACTTATCACCATCTATCACCACAGATTTCAATTTTTTTTCCCAACTGTGAGGGAAAAGTTCAATAGATAGGAATAGAGAGGGAGTATATAGTAACAATAGTTTCATTGCCGGCTACTTGTTAAGGTAGGGTAAGTCAAGCTCCCGCTATTCCCGCCTTTTTTCCCCCCCCCTAAAGTGATAGTTTGATTGCCGGCTGCTTGTTAACGTAGGGTCAGTCTAACTCCCACTATCCCTCCCCCTCCCTCTTCTCCCCCCCCCCGAAAGGTGACGTGTGGGGCTCTGGTCAAACAGTAAATCACTCGACTCACAGCTCCCAACACTACTCTTGGATGACAGAGAGGGTCACCTGTCAATCAACGAGGAGAACAGATGGAGAAGGACTAACGTCCAGAGACTTCCCCATTTTGGATTTAATTACCTGTGTACCTGTATGAAATTGCAGGACGTAACCCCACATCATTGCAGCAGTAAAGAACCTGCTTTCCTGTCATCGGGATAGAATACTCAAGGCTCTATCTACTGTGAAGAACTAGCCAGTGGGTCGTAACCAACACCTGCGACCCCCATCCCCCATCATCAGCAACGGCTACGATTTCAACAATACAGTGTCGCCAACACCAGACACCCCTATATATATTAGCGTTGAATTAAGTTATCATTTATATTTTTCATTTTTCATTTTCTTTAATGTAGGATTAATATTTCATATTTAAGTGTTTTATATTTTAAATTTCTATATAATTAAGTGTTTATGTTAGTTATTATTTCTTTTTCTATTCATTAATTTTCCTGAGGAGGAGCCAGCCTTAGTAATACTTACTGAAGTTGTTACAGGGCTGAGTAAGCCTTCACTCCAACACATAAGGAAATTTTCTGAGTGAGAAAAAAGCCAAATATAATTTTTCCAAATTTTATCCGTGTTGCATACATACATATCCATAAACCATACCACAGGTGGGGTTAGAACCAGCGATCAGAGAGTCTCAAAACTCCAGACCGTCACGTTAGCCACTGGACCAGCTAGGTATATTTCTACACCATAGGAAGGTTAGCATAGGCACCACTGTGACCACAAATGCAAGTTTTTACAGACGAATCTTCCGCTAGCGTGGCCGTGACGAACTCTAGCTCAAGTCCCCTCAAAGCCCTCAATATAACTCACGAAATGGTAATATACCTAGTTGGATGAGTCTTATTGAAGCTAGCTGGCCCAGTGGCTAACGCGTCGGTCTGGAGTTTTGTGACTCTCTGACCGCGGGTTCTAACCCCACCCGTGGTATGGTTTGTTTCAATAGTGTCATTACGATTTCTTGAGACATACATATATACATACATACATTACATACATATATACTTACATACATACGTAAGCATTTTGCAAAAAATTCTTTCCATTTGAGTGATAGAAATCAATTATACCAATTGATTAGTGATATATATACCAATAATTGTATACCTCTCAGTGTATATACACAAAGAGTCTATTTTATTACCTGTTTTATTAATTAAACTATTTTGAGAGGTGACATACAGCGCTTCCTACAAGATTAAAAAATATAATTTCTACTTAAGAGGTTCTCTGTATTCTCCTTAAGCAGTTAAATTCTTGAGACGAGGTTTTGGCTCTCCTAGACAGATGAAGGAAGATGAGGGTGATGGTTATGATGGTAATGATGAAAGGGTGAAGAAGGAAGGCTGAGGATACGAAATTAGGCGTAAGGTGTCTGAGTTGGGTTCCCTGGGTGGCTCGTGGACTGGTAGGCAACACTCTCGCCTCACACACTGAGTGTTCGTGGTTCGATCCCCGGCAAGGGTGGATACAGTGGGCGTGTTTCCTTACACCTGCTGCTCCCGTTCACCTATCAAGCGAATAGGTACCTGGGTATTATAAGTCGACTGGTGTGGGTTGCATCCTGGGGGACAAGATTGAAGGACCCGATGGAAATAAGAGAGACAGTCCCTGGATGACGCACTGACTTGCCTGGGTTATCCTGGGTGGCTAACCCTCCGGAGTTAAAAATCCGAACAAAATCTTAGGAAGAGAGCAGATTATACAAAAGGAGAGGGTGAAGAGAGGAGCGAGAGAGGAGAGGGAAGCAGCAGGAGCAGAGAGGGCATGGAGGTGTAGAGGAGAAAATAGTTACAGGGCTGAAGGGAAAACAGTAGCTGCACCTAGTATATGGGTACCTAACCTACACACAAACACACACACACAGAGTGTAAGTGTTATACCTGGTCCTGGTAGTAACTTACCTAGACTAACTAGTAATAACTTTAATGACCGCACTGTATTTAATTTGATGGGTTTCGGCAGCCTCCCATAAACCCAGCCTCTTCTACCTCCATGCACGCAAAAAAAGGAATAGTACAGAGTGCAGCATAATTATCTAACGCAGTCAAAAACAAAAATAAAAAATATAATCAACACCGAGGACCAGGAATTGCTTCCAAGAGGCAGTCACAAGTCATCACATGGAAACTAACGTCATATTCTCTTCAAGGCAAGTGGAAAAACTGGCTCCCATGCCATTAGGAAGAGATACATTCACCAGTGATTTCTCGCAATACACCAGCCCTAAGTTTGAAGCTGATCGGAAGTTGCATAATTCAGGTTATCAGCGTCGAGGTTTCGACACCGATGGGATGACGTATTTACATTGTCGCATGAGAATCCGTATTTCATTTTTTTTTCAGATTTCTTCAATGAAATCGGCAAGATGATAGTGTGGATGTACTAATGGATGCCCGTCTTGAGGTATAAAAGCTGTTTTTATGTTGTCTAATTTTCTTTTGTAGTTGCTGTGGCTTGAGAGAGAGAGAGAGAGAGAGAGAGAGAGAGAGAGAGAGAGAGAGAGAGAGAGAGAGAGAGAGAGAGAGTGAGAGTATAAAGTCTCTCCCACGGGCTGGTTCAAGTAGGTAGCAAGGTGTGGTACACTGATTGCGACTGCTTGATACATTAGTCCTTGAAAATTCTCTCTTCTCTCTCTCTCTCTCTCTCTCTCTCTCTCGTGTGAGTCACAGTGCCATCTCACCATCAGCAAGTATAAGGAAAAATAGTGCGAACACTATACAACAAACCCTATCACAAACCCAATAAACCACTCACCATCACCCACCCCACTGCTATCACTCCATCACCACCACCACCACCACCACTGCTATCACCATCACCAACACCACCCCCACCACCACTGCTATCACCATCACCATCACCACCACCACCACTGCTATCACCATCACCACCACCACCTACCACCCCACCCTGCTATCACCATCACCCACCACCACCACTGCTATCACCATCACCACCACCACTGCTACTATCACCATCACCACCACCTTCTACATCACCATCACCACCAGTGCTACCACTACCACCACCCTGTTACTACCATCACCAACACCCCCCTTGCGACCAACAACCACACTACCACCACCCGTACCACCACCATCCCCCCACCACATGCTATCACCATCACCATCACCACCACCACCAGTGCTACCACTACCACCACCGCTGTTACTACCATCACCCAACACCGCCCTTGTGACCACCAATACCACCACTACCACCACCCTTACCACCACCATCCCCCCACCACAACACCTGGTTATATTTTAAATAATTTAAGCACTTCCGGGTGCTATAAGTACTTCCGGGTGCTATAAGTACTTCCGGGTGCTCTCACCTTTACCCTCCTGCTCAACCTTACATCAACAACAATATCTTGTTGATATAAAGTGGTGCCACTCACACTTGAGGGAGAAGACTCAACTATTAGTTTCTATCTGGCTGTGAGTGCCACACGGCCCGTTGCTAAGAACACACAGGCTTTTCTTGGCTCTCTAAGAATAGAGACCTATTCTCGAGTATTCATAGTTTATTACTGAACTGAATCACAACTGTTTTGAAAAAAAAGTAAGAACGTAAGAATGGAGGGTCACTGCAGGTCTATTGGTCGATGCTGGGTAGTTCCAACTCACATCCAGTCACTTTATTTATTCTCTTGTCAAACGTATAAAAGTTTTGCACTCTGGTAAGATTATTTGCCTTTTCTTTCTGTAATGTAAACATGTAAGATGACAGGTAGAGCTTACATGTTTCATTTTATGTTTATTGTATACTGATGTTTCTTGTGTTTCTTGATAGTTCTCATTCCCGCAGTATTCCCTTCTCAGGGGGCTGGGTACATCGAAATGTTGAAGGGAGCTGGGAACATTGAAATGCTGAAGGGGGCTGGGAACATTGAAATGTTGAAAAAACAAGACAGAAACAGTTCATTGACTTGAAGAAGGAAGCTAAAACATACTCTCTCTCTCTCTCACGAACACACAATATTATCACCTCTCCGATACACAACGTCACATTCGCGTCTCAAGAGTCCTAAAATGTTACCTGGCTGACAGCTAAGTGAAGGATACGTGTGAAGGAACCCAGCATACTCCTGCCACACCTTCGTCTGGAGGTGCGGGGACCTCCACACACTGATTCCTCACTCACTAATAGTCGAAATCATTTTCAGTAAACTAGGCTACAACAGCCATGACGGCAACAATGGCTAATTGTTTCCCACTCACATTCCATCTCACTGGA